TAGTAAGGGATTATATATTTTATAGATTTCGAGATATAATTACTTATTAAACTACCTCTTTTAAGGATAAAGAGATTAGCTTATAAGGTATTTATTAGTAGATAATAAAATAATAGAATAAATTAGTATATTATAAAACTATAGTATTAAATTTAGTATAGAACTAATCTCTATCTCTCTTATAAGATCCAGGGAAGCCTTCTCTAAATAGGAGGCCCTAATAGTATATATATAATTAGTAATTTATAAGCCTAATATATATAATATAAATAGTAGTTAGTTGGGATATTAAAGGGCCGCCGATTTCCCTAATTAATACCTATAATATCCGAGGTTTATTATATGCCCTTAAGTTATATACGACCCTATATATATTATATTAAGCCTACTTAATTAGTATTACCCTATAATATAAGGAGGTTTAATAGTAAGTAGGCCGTACCTATTACTTATTATATTGAGCTTATACTCTTAATTAATAGATAAAAGGTCCTAGTACCTATACTAGTTATAGGGCTAGGTAAATATAATATGATTTTGGAATAATAGTAGTTTGTAAATACTAGTATTCTAATTAATTACAAGAATAGAAAGTTAATCTGGCCAGATAATTAGCCTAGAAAAAAGAATTAGGATAAGGTCCTAACTATTATATATAAGAACTTAGAATCTGGGAAAAGTAACTAGTACTAAGAAGATATAAATAGAAAGAATAAAGCTATAGCTATAGATAAGTTCTAGAGACCTTAGCTTATAAAGAGAAAACCCTCTTATTTTCTTTCTAATCCGGGTTTAGAAAGCCGTATATAATAAAAGGATTAAGCTCGATATTATAAAGAAATATAAGTGGCCTTAGGAAATATAGAAGTTTCTCCTAAGCCAGAAATAGGAATATTAAAACTATATTATCTAAAGGAAAGCCATAAGATCTAGTTAAGGCCCTTAGTTAATATTATAGGTATTTCGCTAGCTACTTTCTAGATAAACCTATAGAAGAAGGAAAACCTTTTCTTTATAATATTATTTTTTAAGATTAATAAAGAGCTAGAATTATAATAAGAAGACAAGTTTATTTCAGGCAAATAATAGCCAGGAAAGACGGAGTTATAGTAGCTAGTAAGAGTCTTACTAGAGAAGTTTAAGGATTTTATAGATATCTTCTTAAAGAAAATATTAAATATCTTATTCCTATATTAATTATATAATTATAAGATTTAAATTAATAATCCCGAAGGCCTAGAAAGCCTAGGGTATTTCCCGCTCTATTAATAGTTAACCTATAAGCTATAGGAGATCAAGTGCTTTCTTAAAAAGAACCTCTAATAGGGCTTTATTAAGCCAAGCTAGTTCTCTTTTATATCCCTAATCCTTTTTATAAAAAAGGCTAATAGAGCTCTCTGATTCTATATTAACTATTATAAGCTAAATAACTTAATATGGAAGAACTATTATTCTCTTTTTCTTATTTATGAGACCCTTATATAGCTAGCTCAAGCTAAGGTCTATATAAAGCTAGATATTTAGTAAGTATTTTATTAGATCTGAATAAACCCAGAATTAGAAAAACTTATAATATTTCATATAAGATATAGGGCCTATAAGTATAAGGTTCTTTAGGAAGGCCTAACTAATAGCCCTATTATATATTAGAAATATATAAATAATATTCTTTTTAATTATCTTAATATCTTTTATATAGCTTATTTAAATAATACCCTAATTTACTCGAATAATTCCCTAGAGTATAAAGACTATATATAAAAGGTTCTTTAGTAATTACGGGATACTAGCCTTTAAGTAAATATTAAGAAATTAGAGTTTAAGGTTATTTATATAAAGTACCTAGACTTTATTATTTCTATTAGAGGTATTAAAATAGATCTAGACAAAATAGTAGTTATTAAGAACTAGTAACTACTAAAAATAATTAAAGAAATATAAGGCTTTCTGGGTTTTTATAACTTTTATTAATACTTTATTACGGAATACGGCTATATAATAAAGCCCCTAATAGCTCTAATATATAAGAGAGTTCCGTTTAAATAGACAGATTAGTATTAAGAAGGTTTTACTAAACTAAAGCAAACTATACTCTTGGTACTAATTCTATATTACTATAACCCGAACCTTCTTACTATAATTAAAATAAATATATTAAATAGAGTTATAGCCGGTATTCTCTTATAATAAGACCCCTAGATAGGACTCTAGTACCCAATAGTATTCTTCTCTAAGACTATATAGTTAGTAGAACTAAACTATAATATTTATAATAAAAAGATACTTGCTATTATTCTCTCTTTAACTAAATAATAAGTAAAGCTAGAAGGCCTATAAGAAGTACCCTTTATAATTTACTTAAATTACCGAGCCCTTAAGTACTTTATAATTATAAAGAAGCTCTTAGTAAGATAAGCTTACTAGGTAAAATATCTTTCTTATTACTATTTTAAGCTTATATATTAGGCAGGTAAGTCAAATAAATAAGTAGATATTTTAAATAGGAAATATAAGGATATAATTACCTAGAATAAGGTAATAGTAGTTTACTAAACCCAAATTCTCTTCCTATAATAAAAGATTAATAATAATATTATACGGGATCTCTAGTTAGCCCTAATTAAGGCCTTTATAAGCCCGGCTCAGGAAGAAACCTAGTATAATAATATCTAGCTAGTAGATAAGCTATTAAGTAAGAACCGAGAGTTACCGGAGCTAGAAGAACTATAGAATAAAGCAAGAAATAAGAAAGAAGGTACTTGAATATTATAAAATGGCCTCCTTTTATAATATAGTAAACTATTTATATCTAATAGTATAATAATACCCGAAATACCCTTATATACTACCCTTATTTAGAAGGTATATATATAGCCCCTAATAGGATATCCAGAATAAGCCAAGCTTTAATAGCTTCTTTAGGCCCGCTATTACTAGCCAGGCCAAGATATAAATATTAATTAGTATAGGAATAACTATTATACCTACTAATAATCCCATATCCCTAGAAATAAGAAGCCAGGGCTCTTATATCTATTACTAGTTCCTGACTGCCCCTAGTAACATATATTAGTGAATTTTAAGAAGTATCTAGAGAGTAGGAATAAGTATAATATAGTAGTAATCTTTATTAACCGCCTAGATAAGTACCTTATTACGATTCCTGTCCGAGATATAGTAATAGCTAAAGAGTTAGTACTCCTATTCCTTACCTATATAGTTTACTAAGTTAGTATCCCGGAAACTATAGTATCTAATTAAGGCCCCTAGTTTATATCGGATTTCTGGAGCAAGTTCTATAAGTATATTAGTATAAAGCTCAAGTTATTAACTACTAACTATCCCCAAACTAATAGCCAGATAGAGATTATTAACTAGTATTTTGACTAATGGCTATATCTTTATATAAATTACTACTAGAATAATTAGAACGAATAGGTAGTAATAATTAACTACTAGTAGGCAGCTCTAATCTATAAGACTATAGGCTAATCCCCGTTTCTTATAGAGAAGGGCTATAAACTACGGATATTATTTAATTAGGAAACCCAAGTATAATCGGGTACCCCGAAGGAAGAGCTAAATAGACAGGAAATAAAGACCCTAGTAATATGGCTCTATAAATTATAATAAAAGATATAGGAGAATATAATATAAGTATAAGAATACTATACTACTTAAGCTAATAAATACCGCCGACTAGTAAACTTCGGAATAAGAGATAAGGTATGAATTATTACCAAGTACTAGAAGAATAATTATCCGAGCCATAAGCTAGCTTACTAAATAGAAGAACTATATAAAATCCTGGAATAAGTAGGATATTTCTTTAGACTTAAGCTTCCGGAATTAATAAGAATATATCCGGTATTCTATATAGAGAAGCTATATAAAGATCCAGGTAATCCCCTTTCCGGATAAGCAAATCCGGAGCCTCTGCTATTAGAACTATAAGACGGGGAAATAGAATACAAAGTTCAAAAGATATAAGTAATAAAACTATTTTATAGGAAGCTAAAGTACTAAGTCTAGTAGAAAGGATAGGACCCAGATCTGAAGTAGTATCCCGCTTCCTTATTAAGTAATAGCGCCCTAGCTCTTTAAAGCTTCTATAATAAGAATCCCGAATAGCCAGGACCGCCCCAGAATCTCCCCTATTAGTTAGACTATACCAAGAACGATATACTACCGGAACCGTATAATACGGACGGAAATCCTTTAAAGTTATATATAAAAGGCCCTGGCCTTTAATATATAACCTACGACTTGGAAATTCAATAGGAACTTTCGAAGCTCGGGGACGAGCTTACTTCGAGGGGGGGGGGGGTAATATTACGGTTATTATAATATACGGTACTAGTAGGGGTTAGACTAAAGCTAGAGAGGCATCTGGCATCTGAGCAAGGTATCTGTAGTTACCTGATTATTATATGTAATCCCGAGCTTAAGCTAGTACGTGGGCCCGTATATAGCTTGCGATTATTTAGATCCGAGGCTCCTTCGGGATTCTCTTCTCTCTTTAGCTTTGAATCATTAAAATAGAGACAGTCTAACTATGCCTTCCAGGCCCTAGATCTTATACTCGTAACAATATCCTAAATATATTACGATCTGAAAGACCTCTAATTTCAATTAATGCAATTAAGTATGTTTTAAAGGTTATACTTCAGAACTCGACTATAAGAGGCTTTTCTTATACTATAATTATAAAGGAAGTGAGAAAGTGCAAGTACGAAACTACTTCTAGAACTATCTGGAAAGTCCTTAAGCAAGCAGGCTATTCTTAGTATAAATTAATAGTAAAGCCTAGACTAAATAAGTTTAATAAAAAGAAGTAATTAGAGTAGTACTTAAAGCGAGTATACTAGATATTAGAAGACTAGAAAAATGTGATTTTTATAAACGAGACTATAGTATAATTAGGAGGTATAAGAGGCAAGAGATATATATAGAGATTACCTAGAGAAGCGTATAATAAGTATTATATATAAAGAAGATAGAAAGGCTTTTCTGAGTTTATATTTTGGGGAGCTTTTTCGTTTAATAAGAAGGGACCTTATTATATATGGGAAAAGGAGACTATAGAGGAAAAGAGAGAGTATAAAGCTAATCTTAATATAAGGAATTTATTAATTAAGAAGGCTAATAAATAAAAGTAAAAGAAGGAGTAAAGGAAGTAGCTAAGGAATTAGAAGAAGGTCTATAGCCGGGTACTAGGAGGTATATAAAAGGTATAGAAGCATAATAAGAAGACTAGGGCCTTTATTATAAAGAATAGACGAAGAGGAATTAATTAGTATTAATATTAGAAGAGGATATTAATTAAGAAGCTCTTGCCCTTTACAAGAAAGTACTAAAAGAATTACCCTAATACGATTATATAAGAGAATAATATACCGGGCTATAAGTTATATTACTAAGGGAAGATTTATAATCTATAAAAGATTATAAAGATGCTTTAGCCAGGAAACTTACCTAATCTTAATATAATTAAGAAAGTATAGTTTTGGATAAAAAAGGAAACTACTAGGCGGGGGCCTATAAGTAATAGAAAAAAGCTCAGAGTAAGGTAAGAGAAATACTGGGCGAATCTTCCCTAAAGTAAGATTCAAGAGTGGATTATAGTAATTCCTGATTATATATAAGAGATAATTCGTTTAGAAGGGGGGAATAAGTATAAAGAAGGTAGAAAGAAGGGCCAGGAAAAGATAGCTATATATTAGTATAGTTTAATATTATAGTTTGGCTCCTATTTACTTCTTTTGAGGGGGTGCGGGGTTAATTAATCGCTTCAGGGGACCCTTACAGGGCTTACAGGGACTAGGATATTATTATGGGGAGATGAAACTAAGACCTACAGAGCCTATTAGTGGTCTTCATTAATATATTATGAAATATGCCCTGTATTCCCGTCACTTTATGCCGCTGTCTCCGTACTACAGTTCTCCCAGTCCATCTCTCTCAGTCCTCAGCTCGATCTCGTCTTTCATCAAAACCCTAAGCACCACCTCTCAAGTAATCCCATTTGCCAATTGGTGTCCCATGTCCCCTGAACAGTGCATATATCATGCTATTATGAAAATAGAAATTGGGCACCCCGAATTCCTGCACGTACTCAATGCCTTTCATCCGAGTACCCAAATCTGCCACCGTAACAGTAGCCTGATCCCGTCCCTCAAACTGCTCTCTCGTCGTGTCCTTTAACAGCTCAATCGTACTCGCGATCCAGGTTTGCATTTCCGCAACAATGTCACCACCGCCATATGAGGACGAGGAAGAAGCAGGTAAAGGGGTGCCGAGAACGATGACGATGAGGTTTTCGGCGATCTTGCAGATGTTGCGGATTTGGAACATGAGCGGGTTCATGTCGGGTGCGAGGCGCCAGTTCAGGACTTCTTTATCGGGGATACCTTGTGAGTTTGTGTAGGAGAAGCCTTTTGTGAGGATGTGGGAGGTATTTTGGAGGGCGCGGATGTACATCGGGACGAAGACGTCGTGTATATTAACTGAGGAAGAAGAGGAAGCCATGGTTATTGGTCTTTACTCCACAGTCAGTCAATGAATGAATGAATGGAATGTATCGGTTTGTACATACAATCGGGTTGTGGAAGAAGGGAAGGCAGATGATGATTTTGATGACGAGTGTTTGAATCCAACCTGCAACTGAAGCCACTCAAAGTTTCGCGATCACGAAGGAAGAGTGATGTTGGAAGAATTTTGGGGCATGCAGGAGCAAGTGAGCAAGCGTTTGTGTGGTTCTCGTTGGGTGTACGGGCTATAGAATGATTTGATGTGGATGATGTTGAGTCGTGGTGCTGCTGTTGACGCCGGGGGGGGGATAGTGCACGATTCAATGATTTTGGTGATGACGAGGCACTGAATCTTCCAGCTCCCACCAAATCAGCAAGGACCAACAAGTGAGTCTATACACTCACCTTTGACTATCTGTGGGGTGATATAAGGGTGTGGTGAATGGTCTGTGGAATTGAAGTTCACGATCGGATGTCAGAGACAGAGGCCTGAAAGAGAGTTGAGACTCGGCGTTGATGATTGAGACTTCAGCTTGGGAAACAGGGCAATCTCGTGAATAATATGGCGATACTGTTAATGGCGGAGTTGTTGGAGTAGCCTAACCCCGCGTCCAGGGGGCTTCGGCTCCCACCAGTTCCCACCCCCATCTATTTTTAGGCCCTGCGTCCTTGAAGGCTTGACGGCGCATCGGTTACCGAAACCCCCCTTTTATTCTTCCAAGCGATAGCACGAGGCTTTTGCGACGCCCAGTAGGGATGGAGATTCGGAAACCGGATAGTATCGATTTAAACCTGTTGAAATTTCTAGGTGAAAATATCTACGACTGCGAAGTGTAAAACTAGGTTACCTTTAGGAAACAAGACTGCGGCCTGCAATCTACAAACGGCTCACTTCTCCTGGACTCCCAACCCTGGAATCTCACGCCCTCTATACTTATTCTGAACATCACTAAACAAAATTCTCTAGCTTTCCTTACTCACCTTCTTAAGCATCCTCCCAATTACCCAGAAGTCGAATAACAGGACTCAACCAAGACTCCCACTCCGTCATGTCCGAGCCAGAGGCCCCAGGCTTCAGCATCGAGATCAAGATCCGATAATCGCCATTCGGAAGATACTCATAATCCTCGCCATCAGGACCTATGTTATGGAAAAATACCGCACCTGAAATCTGGTCAGCGGCTGCACCCTTCTAAACACAAAGGAAAGAACATACCCCAGTAAAACGTCACGGTAGTCTGCCGAGGAATAAAGTTAATAGACGACTCCGACGGATACCCATTATTGTTCTGCGAATTATCCGGCAACCACCCATAACTAGGCACTTCCTGGAAGGTCTCATGCGGTGTGTGATTCGTATCCATATACTCCACCTCCATTTTCGGATCATATCCATAATGCGTCGGCACGAAGCTTGTATTTGCCTGCAAAACATGGATTTCATAATCGGCACCTCCGGTGAGGAAATTGACTTCGATGCTTGGGAATTCCCATTCAGTGAGGTTGTAGGCTTCGAACTGGGTGTTGATGCGGATCGTCCAGTTTGCGTTATCGTCGTAGATGCCGGGGTAGTGGAAGACGCAGGGTTGCGCAACGTTGTAGTCTTTGAAGCCATCGGAGATGGTGAAGTTGCTGAGGTCGATGGCATTCGTGTTTTTGCGGGAGTAAGGAAGGCCGAGGTAGGGGATGGAGAACGTTTCGTCGGAGCTGGAGATTGAGACGAAGCCGGAGAAAACGGGAGTTTTGTGGATTTGAGCGGGAGAGAGGATTGGTGGGGTGAAGGAGACTGAGATTTCATGAGATTTACCGGCGGGGATGGTAACGGTCGAGGCAGAAAAGGAAGCGGAGCCATAGATAGAGTATTGGGGTAAGCCCCAGATATTGGCGTATCGAGGTGTAAGGGCGTCTGGATATGGACTGTATTCAACATAGCCTGCTCCTTCGTGCTTGACGGTGTAGGTCTTCGTCTTGGGAGACGCGTTGGTGATCTTGATTGTCTGGGGAACATTCAGGAACTCGTCGACGTCTCCAATTTCGAGTTGAGAGGGAGTGATGGTAGTCTGGTACTTGATCGCTCTGTACGGATTGACCATTCCAGCTCCTTGGCCCGCGACGGTTGATAAAATCGAGTGGTCGTAGACGTACTGCATTGGTGTAGAGGTTGATTGCAGGAGGCTGATTACTTCTGGCACCGACAAACCGGGGTTCTGAGATCTGACCAAAGCATAGCAGGCAGCGACAAAAGGGGTCGCCATTGACGTCCCAGAGATAATGGCATAACCACCGAAAGGCCCAAGCGGCCAAGTCGAAAGAATCTTCCCTCCTGGGGCACCTGCAGGACTTCGTTAGGATTGGGTAATCAAAATAAAGTGCTTGGGAATCCTTTGTCTTGGATAAGAGAACGGCACGAAAATAACTTACTCAATTGGGGCTTCAAAGCAACCGTATCCCAAGTTGGACCCAAAGACGAAAAGTTGCTGACCATACCACCAGTTTGCATTCTCACACTCGTGGCTTTAGGATTAGTAAAGCTCAAAGAGTATGTGCTCCTAGTAGACTTGATATGTCTGAGCATACTAGCGCCGCTTCGAGGATCGATAACCAGAGTCGTAACGGGGAAGGGAATTTGGAGCTCAGCGTCTTGACTAACTGGGTCTTGACCGATGTTGTATCCAATGAGATATTGAATTCCAAAAGCTGATGCTGCACTCATTTGAGTTCCTAACGAGCAATCGGCCGTGATGCCAACGAGGACAATGGTATTGCTCGGATCCTTGACTGCAGCGCCGGTGTTTTTCCATGCTGCCCGAGTGCATAGGAGTCCGTGAGAGTAGACGGTCAGCGCCTGGGGCAGAATCAGGGGCCAGACTGCTTGATACTTGAAGGTGGCTCCCGTAGAATCTTCCAGGTTGTAGTTTACTGGAAATTTGAGATTGGTGACACTTCCGACACCAAGTGCACTCTCAACACTGGCTGGAGTTGATTGACTGTAGATGCCAAGATCCCCATTGTTTCCGTTAGAAGCTATCACAGCTATTCCTTGGCCAGTGATAGAGTTTACCAGATTCGTGTATGATGTGTCGTCTTGAAAGGGATCCATAGCTCCCAGGGTCATACTGATGACGTCCACGCCGTCAGCGACGGCTTTCATCATAGCATCCATGATAATATCGTATGTTGTGTTGTTTGAAACACAACTGAAAATTCTGTACATGTAGAGAGAAGCTTCGGGGGCCACTCCAGTCATCCCGAAACCGATATTGGGAGGGTCTACCATTCCCGCAATTCCTTGACAGCATCAGCGACGAGACAAAAGCCATTTCGAGCAACATACCTGAAACATGGGTGCCGTGGCCACCCTCAAAGCAAGTCGTTAGAGGGTCAGGACTCGAAATCGGGTCGGCGCCGTGGGGATACCAGTTGTCGTCAACAAAAGCATATCCGCCTGCAACTTTGAAGCCGGGCCCAAAACCGCCTCCAAGTGAGGGATGATTGTAATCAACTCCAGTATTAATGAACGCAATTTTCATTCCTTTCCCTTTAATTCCTAAAGCATGAACTCTATCCACGTCTGCCATCTTTAGTACCGAAGCAGTGTCTACTCCCGTGATATGAGGGAGGTTTGAGCTGCTGTCAACCGGTGTCCATGTTTGATTGATAGCTGGATTTGTTTTGATTGCCGTCGGAGCTTCGAGTTTCCCTTCGGATTTGATCGGAGCTGGTTTGCTGACAAGTCGATTCGGGTAGACTGCAACCACCTCTGGGATCGACTTGAGGGTATTATTGATCTGGGAGAGGGTAACGTTCTGACCGATCTTGATTGAAAGTCCGTAGAAAAGAGAAGGATTTGTGAATTCTCTTTGGATCTGGTAATCGAGATTCAAGTTGACGGCACGTTTGTGAAACTCGTCATGTGAGCGCTTCCCCAGTGAGACATCGTGTCTGAGCTCTACGATAAAAGAAGACTGTCCAGATTGTTTTGAGAAGGGAAATGCTCCTTTGCTGGGGGTGGGAATGGAAAAGTTAGATACAGGATCTGATGAAGCCAATGACATCAGGGCCAAAAGCCAAAAGATTGGGAGAATCATGGTTGATTGAGTTTGGGATTCTTGTCAAACTTTTGATGTGCCAATCTTTGGTGTTATATACCATATTTTGAGCTTCTACCTCACAATATTGAAGCTAGGCTGGTGATGGAAGGAGGTCCAAACTGTTGATCTACTCTCCTTGAGAAGGCTGGTAAATTCGTATCAATCCTACAAACGCCAAGAGCCGTGTCTCGTCACCGGCATTTGGACATGGCGATGGAGACATGGGAGTATGAGAATTCGGAATGGGTCTCCTTGGAAATGGCTGTGCAATACAGTGTCACTACCACCTTGCAGCCCCCCATTGTTGAAGGCAACGCTTTGGCGTCATATACTACTTCGAGTGGAGACGCATTCGCCGTTTTGGACCCCACTTTTCAGCGATTTTTCTTCCTACCTGCCGTTTGTTGCTAGTATGCTGACAATGCCAATCCATAGCAAGACTCTGGATCAGATTTTGTGATCATTGCAACGAGAGCAATGGAGTGCTCAGAGATAAGACGAAGAGCCTTGTCAAAATCTCGTCCGAACTCGGCAGGTACGAGTGACCATCGGTCGTCCCTTGCAAGCACACATCTCACGAGTTGAGGTTCTTGATACGAGCGTTCTCGAACTTTCTAGATGCCAGTAAGAGACAGCTAAAATTGCAATTGAAAGAAGCAAAGAACAAAGAACAAAATATAAAGAACAGGATTGTGCTGGAGGGGTCGTATAAATATAACCTGATGACCGGAAAATAGGCAATATCAATAACTGAGACGTAGGGTCAACAGAAAAATAGATACCGCTACCCGGATCAGCACTGTATTTATCTTGGCAACATCGTGCTTATATTACGAGGCGCAGCCAGGACGGATATTAGCCGAGAGATTAGAAAGTCCGATGTAATCCGAGTACTGTAGCGCATGCCCTTTGGTGGTAGCACGTGGCCGACTTGGAGATAAAGAAGGAAGGTGTGTATCGCGAGGATCTGTGCGTGAAGTCTGTTCTGAAGGAAGATCAGATGGGAAACCCTGCGAAGACAATTGTTAGACCTGGTAGCTGGGTAAAACGGGCCGGGTTCCGAAAGAATGGGCCGCCGGTGTCGAAGAGCAATGAGGATATGGCTGAGCCTCAAATCTTTTCGAGATTTGCACCGCTTCTTGATTCACCACGTGACTTTGCTATGATTAATCACGTGCGTGCAGCTCCTCCTGAGATCAAAGTAGTATGATACAGATCACCAGTACTTATTCTCATGGTGCGAAAACAACTTCTCAAACAGGGTTCTGAATGCGAGCTCCTTCCAAGTACCTAGGTATAAAGATTTGACCGCAAGTCACGTGGAACAGGATTAACCTTACCTCTCAACTCATCATCACATCTTTCCGCTGTCGTCCTCGACCAGTCCTCCTATCTTGCGACTTCCCTCTCCCCTCCCAACTGCCATCAACCAACCCCCACCACCCTCGGTTTCAAATACGAGCATCTGACTCGCCAGCGTCAGCCTCAAGCTAAAAAGTCAAAAACCTGGCAAGATTGATTCCCGCGACAAGAAAGCCAACGTGTCCCAATTTCCACCCGCTATTTCAATTCCCCTTCACCTCTCTCCTCGAAATGATTCTGCAGGCTCTGAGCGGGATCATCGAGGCTGAGTCGCAGTTTCAATGATGAACAAACGTCATATCGTCGTCTTTTCGGGCGGGAGTGCGGCGAATAATCTGGTTGATGTGTTCGGGAAGGTGGCGGAGGATAAGGAGTGTTCGTTGAGTTAGTAAGTGATTGAATTGGGGGAGTTGGGATGTATGGGAGAGAGGCTAATGAGTTGAAGCATCATTCCAATATCTGACAACGGTGGGAGTTCGAGTGAACTTATCCGGGTGTTTGGTGGACCGGGGATTGGTGATGTGAGGAGTGAGTATTTTCTCTCACCTTTCCCCACTTGTGAAATTGTGTTGTGAAGTCCACATCGAGTACGAAGAGTTTGGATGAAGATGAGGAAGCAGAGCATGTTTCACTTCACTCCAGCTTCATCTCACAAGTACCATATCACGTGCTCATATCTGTTCTCCAGGTCGACTCGTCCGTTTGATTCCTGAAGACCCTTCATCTCCAGAAACAACCGCCGTCAAGACTCTCTTCAACCACCGTCTCTCCCCGGACTCCACACAAGCCCGGCACGAATGGCTCGACATCGTTGAATCCCGCCACCTCCTCTGGACATCCATCCCCTCCCCGAAACGAGAACTAATCCGCTCATTCCTCAACACGATCAACCTCGAAATAGTAAAGCGAGTTCGCCCAACCTCGTCCTTCAACTTCCAGTCCGCATCAGTAGGAAACTTATTCCTAACCGGAGCGAGGCTTTTTTCCGGGAGTTTTGAATCAGCTATCTACTTGCTTGGAGCAATCACAGGCGTTCCGTCCAATATCAATGTTATCCCTGCAATAAACAGCAATTTTAGCCATCACATCTCCGCTGGCCTGCAAGACGGAACCGTAATCACCGGTCAAAACGCCATCTCGCATCCCTCTGCTCCGTCTGCCCCAACGCCCGCTACCCTTACAACCTCTTCCTCCGCCGCCAATCTGCTACAGGAAGAAGAGACAATCAGTCCAATGACAAAACACGCAAGAACCCTCTCTAAAGAACTTACCGAGCACGACACCATCGAAGACGCTAACCTCCCTGGATCCTTGCCTACGTTAAGGAAACAATATATCGCGTTCACCAAAACGCATACCTCTGACCTGCCCTCCCGCATCGAGAGGATATGGTACATCAATCCTTACGGACAGGAGATCCGTCCTGCACCCAATCCCAAAGTGCTGGAATCCTTGGAGAGTGCAAGTGCGGTGATCTACTCGATTGGGAGTTTGTACACGAGTATTGTTCCCTGCTTGGTGCTAAAGGGGGTCGGGGAGAAGATCAGGGGGAGTGGAGTGAGGTATAAGATTCTGATATTGAATGGAAGTTTGGATCGTGAAACGAGGGCTGCGGGGTGCGAGTTTACGGCGAGGGATTTCATTGGCGCGATTGCGGCGGCTTGTAATGGTGGTGAGGTGAGGGAGGAGGAGTGGGGGATGTATGTGACGCATGTTATTTATCTTGAGGGGGAGGGGACGCCGAGGGTGGAGAGGGAGGTGCTTGGTAGGGCGGGCGTGGAGTGTGTGAGGATTTATGGGAGAAAGAGAGATGGGGAGGGCGAAGAGGGGGGCATGTTGTATGATGGGACGGCGTTGGCGCAGGCGTTGGAGGCTATTATTGGGGGTGGGAAGAGGGGGGTGGTGGACAGGAGTCGGAGGAATACTTTGGGGATTAGTGGGGTTGCAGGATAGGATGGCAACTCGAATGAGATAGTGCGAGGACTACTAGAGTCACAGTCGCCTCTTTGGGGCATCCTTGGGAAAGGCCTGTCCATTGTGCTGGCACATGGACAGTCAAGCTAGCTTCAATGACCATAGAATCATGGCTGTGTATCATTGTTGTATTGATTACAAAAGCCTGAGCCTGGGAAAATATCCCCCCTGAGTGCCCGGCGGTCAAGAACACCTCGAATGCTATAATCTAACAAGTGCCGCCCTCTAACGCCAAACGCCATCTTGTTCCCAGTCCGTGTACGCCATGCTGCTTGCAAATATATGTGCAATATAATCTCCTAGACATCATCAAGTCTTGATCGCTTGCTTCCCCTTCTTATTCGCCGTCATAAGCTTCATCTCCAACGCAAAAACCCCAGTCTTCGGTGTCTTCTGCCCAGGTTTTCCAGGATTGATCACCGTCCTGCACACAGGGCAGCACTTCTTGTCCCCAGCGTGGAGAGCATGATGCAGGCATTCTGAGCAAAAGAGATGTCCTATTTCAATCCAGTTAGCATAGTCCTAATCCCCTCCCTTCTTTCAATCTAGACAAAATAAGTCATACATACCACAATGCGTAACCGTCAAATCCGTCGGATTGCTCATGCAAATAATGCACTCAAACGCCGCCAACCTAACCGGTTTATTCGCCTCTGCTTCATTCTGCGCCTTGACTAACTCCGCCTGCTCCTTTGCCCGCAGCGCCTCGTACTGCTTCTCATCTTCCACATCCACCAGATCTACGACCTGGACATCACCGTCTAGACTTTGCTGTCTGATTGAAGAAGAGGAAGAGCTGGTTGGTCGCGCGGCCTTGCTTGCTCGTCCCTCGCCTGGTGTCTCTGCCTTTCGTTTTCGGCTTGGAGGTGGAAGTGGTGCCACCTTCGGGGGTGAGGAATCAGTCAGGTCGACAACAGAAGAGGAGCGCGTGGTGGGCATTGTTGCCTCGTCTCTCGGACTTGGAAGGTTGAGGAAATCGTCGAAAGGGTCCGGGGATTCGGAGCCCGCGACGCGGTATTGGGAGATATGTTGTGCAGGGCGACGTGCTTGCTGGTTGCTGGGTGGCGGATCGTGATGCGATTGAGAAGGTTGCGGGAGGAAGGGGTCGGGAGAGGGAAATCGTGGCAGGGCGTCAAAGTATTGGGCGTTGTCGAAAAGGTCGTCTATTGGGGGCAGGTTGAAAGCTTCATAGTCGTGCCCGCTTTGTTCGCTCCAGGGCGAGTTTGCTGCATTGGAGTTCATGTCGTCGGGCCCTGGCGAGAAGGGCGAATAGCGCGGGTTTGAGCGGCGGAACATGCTGGTGTTGGTGTGCTGCGAGGGCAATTCAAGAGTGGGTGCGGTGAGTGAAGATGCATGGGCCTCGTAGGCGGCAGTGCAATTTATAGAGAAGAAGAAGGAAAGAGCGAGCCAGGCAGGAAGTTAATAATGAAGTGAGGTCGTTGATCGCCTGCGGTGGGACAATAATAGTTGTTGGCGGCGGGCGGCGGCGGCTGAAAGAGTGAGTTGTGCCGCGCTTTCGGCGTTAAGCTGTTATCGATTAAAAGTTCTGCTCCAGCTGCCTTGTGGCTAATAGTCGGCCCTGGCCCCTTTAAGGTTAGCGAGCGTCAAGCCCGGAGTCTCCGCCTATTAATTGGGACGCACTTCTTTTGCAATTATCCCGAGCAAACGTCACGAGACTCACGAGAGCTCTTCGCGCGCCGCAGAGAATGTCCACCAGCCACTGTAATGCTCTGAAGAGGCTGCCTCGCACATAGTATGCTGCTTTCAGTACGCGCTGGTCGTTCGAGCAGGCCGGTCGCGAGCTTTGTGCGGCTTGCATGGCCTCAGGCGCATCGCCGTCAGGAGTCACGCCAAATCGGACGACGGCAATGGAGATCCTACGCGACGGAAAGCGCGGGGCCAGGGGGAAATGGCCCTGCTGATTCCGGATCACTGTCGAGTGAGTCTGCCTTCTTTTGAAAATTCAGCTGCCCATTCTGACATTTCTCAGCGCCCTCGAACGCAAGGTACAATGAAATAGGCGTCCAGCAATTATCCAGCCATGTCTACTCCCAGATCTTCCCAGATAACACCATACCTCCTCCACCAGAGCTGGTAGAGCTCTCCAAAGATCATCTTCGTCGACATGAATTATTAGGAAAGAACACCGACAACTCCGAGCCGATATCTTTCGACCTGCCCGAGCTCCAGGGGGCTACTCTCGATGAACACTTCTATAAACTCGGAGTCGATGCCGCCGAGCCATATCTCTCTAAAGCCAAGCAATTCACGAAAGCGAATGCTCCTCCGAGGCCGCGGAAATGGGTGCGGAAGAGTGGATGGACGAAATATTATCCGGACGGAAGAACGGAGGCAGTGGATGCGCCGAACGAAGATATGCTGTGTTTTGACACAGAAGTGATGTGGAAGGAGAGTTCGTTTGCTGTGATGGCATGTGCTGTGGGTCCTACTAATTGGTATGCGTGGTTGTCTCCTTGGTTACTTGGAGAATCGGAAAACGATCGACATTTGATACCTCTGGGAGACCCGAATCAGCCTAGAATCATCGTGGGACACAATATTGGATATGACAGGGCTCGAATTGCTGAGGAGTACGATATTAAGCAGACGAAAAACAGCTTCCTGGATACTATGTCACTTCATGTGGCAGTCAATGGGATGTGCTCTCGCCAAAGACCGACATGGATGAAGCATAGGAAAAATCGAGAACTCCGGGACAAGATTGCCGGCGAGACGGACAGTGCAGAACTGGCGACTTTGCTCGGAAACAAGGCCCTCACGGAAGAAGAGGAAGAATTATGGGTTGGAAGAAGCTCAGTGAATTCGTTGCGAGATGTGGCAAAATTTCATCTGGATGTCACCATCGACAAGGCTCAACGAGATCAATTTGGAGAGCTAGATCGAGCTGGTATTCGAGAGAAACTTGATGAACTTTTGGACTATTGTGCAGCCGATGTGGACGTTACACATCGTGTGTACAAGATTGTCTTCCCGAATTTCTTGGAAACATGCCCACATCCTGTGAGTTTCGCTGCCCTCCGTCATCTCTCTTCCGTCATTCTTCCTGTGGACAAGTCGTGGGAGTCATATATTGCGAACGCTGAAGCAACTTATCACAAGCTGTCTGATGCTGTGCAACAAAGACTCGTGGACTTGACCAACAAGGCGCTCAGCATCAAGGGAGAGCCCGGAAAATGGAGTGACGACCCATGGCTTCGACAACTGGATTGGTCCGGTCAAGAAGTCAGAATGGTCAAGGGAAAGAAGAAGAATGATCCACCAAGACCGGCTGCTAGGCAGAAGATGCCTGGAATGCCAATGTGGTACAAGGATCTATTCATTAAGAAGGACGGTCCAATTGGGCTCACTGTTCGGACTCGAATTGCACCATTGTTACTTCGTCTAGCTTGGGATGGATACCCACTGGTTTGGTCCGATAAATACGGCTGGACTTTCAGAGTGCCAGTGGCTGATGCTCACAAATACAGCGACAAGCAGATGCAAGAATGCACTGCGTTTGATGAGAAAGACGTTGAATTACGAGACGATCGGAGTAGCGTATACTTCAAACTGCCACATAAGGATGGACCAACTGCGAGGTGTGCCAATCCAATGGCGAAGAGCTATATGCCTTATTTTGAGAAAGGCATACTCTCATCTGAATTTGCATACGCAAAGGAAGCACTTGAGATGAATGCTTCTTGCTCGTATTGGATTAGTGCCCGAGACAGGATCATGTCTCAGATGGTGGTGTACGAAAGTGATGGCGCTAAGGGTCCTGAACAGATGGAATCCAATTTAGAAACTGGGTACATCCTACCTCAGGTCATTCCGATGGGCACCGTCACCCGAAGAGCTGTCGAGAACACCTGGCTCACAGCGAGCAACGCTAAAGCGAACCGAGTTGGCTCTGAGCTGAAGTCGATGGTGAAAGCGCCACCCGGATATTGCTTTGTGGGTGCCGATGTTGACTCTGAGGAGCTTTGGATCGCCAGTCTGGTTGGTGATGCGCAGTTCAAGTTACACGGAGGCAATGCGGTGGGCTTCATGACTTTAGAAGGGACCAAAGCAGCTGGAACAGATCTGCACTCTCAAACCGCAGCAATTTTGGGCATCACTAGAAACGATGCAAAGGTCTTCAATTATGGACGAATTTACGGTGCAGGTCTAAAATTTGCTTCAACGCTCCTGAGACAATTCAACCCAGGACTTTCCGAGACCGAGACGACAAAGGTTGCATCCAATCTCTACAAGGCCACCAAAGGCACGAAGACAAACCGAAAGACCCTTCACAAGAGACCTTTCTGGCGTGGTGGCACGGAAAGCTTTGTTTTCAATAAGCTCGAAGAGTTTGCTGAGCAGGAGAAACCTCGCACGCCTGTTCTTGGAGCCGGTATTACTGAAGCTTTGATGAGTCGATTTGTCAACCAAGGAGGTTTCATGACTTCGAGAATCAATTGGGCTATCCAATCGTCTGGTGTTGATTACCTCCATCTCGTGATCATCTCAATGGATTACCTCACCCGAAGATTCAACATAGGCGCTCGACTTGCAATCACCGTACACGACGAGATCAGATACTTGGTCCGTGAGGAAGACAAGTACAGAGCCGCCATGGCTCTTCAAGTCTCCAACGTCTGGACCCGAGCTATGTTCTCTCAGCAAATGGGCATCAATGACCTTCCACAAGCCTGTGCCTACTTCTCAGCCGTCGACATCGACCACGTCCTCCGCAAAGAAGTAGACATGGACTGCATCACCCCCTCCCACCGCCTCAAGATCCCGCACGGCGAATCCCTCGACATCAACACTCTCCTCTCCAACCCCACCTCCCATCTCGATCCTTCCATCATCCCCACCGATCCTCCCAACCTCGCATCCATCACCTACACACCTCGCATCCCCGTCATGGAAACCCTGCAATCAAATTCCGACGTCAACTTCCTCAAAGCCCAGATCACAGCAGACGATAAAGAGCTCCGGGAGATCATCAAAGACCAACGCAAGCTTATGGAAGCCGACGCACCGCCTAAAAAGAGAGCCACGAATAAATCTCGAAGCATCTTACCGTACCACGCTCAGCCTCATCTTGTTGAGGAACCAGTCCTCGTTTCTGATCTCTTTGGTGGCAATAACTTCCGCAATGGTTTTGGAAGCGAGAGTGGGAAGCAAAAGAATTGGGGATGGGAGAGGAATGCGAGTGTGTCGAGAGCCAGACCTGCTACCCGGTGGTAGCCCACTCTCGACCTGTCTCTTTCCCTTTGTGAATAATTGGGAATAACTTCTTTTGTGTATTAATGGGAGACGATGAGACGGCCGTCTCGATTGTAGGTTTCTTTTGTAACCTTACGATGTGTACCTTCCGTGGATCCTTTGTGTTTGAAAACGTGGTTCGGCCTCTGGTGTCAGGTGGGAAGGGTTGGGTGTAGCATAGTTGGCGCTGGTTTGCTTGGGCGGGTGTATGATCTGTATAGCATTTGTGGTCGTTTAGATGTTGACGGGTATGGGGAGGGGTGAAAATAAGGTAATTAGCCATATTATCTCTCTCCGCCGGTCAATCGCTTCAATGTTCCAAGTTTTCTAATGCAGTGAGGCTACCTTCTCATTCTTGAGTGAGATCAATTTCGTAACTTTGGTTGCACGTCGACTCAATGTCCGAAAAATTTCTGGTACATTGAGATTACCCATCAAAGGTGTTAAGTTAATATCATCTCCGGACGGTGTTAATTTTCCTCGTCTTCATCGAATAAACATTTCATGAACCTGGCTCAAATGCCGCTCGCAGACTTCCCACATAGTCCCTATGCCCACAGCGCTTCAACGTCCTACTCACCTCAAAATGGCACGCACATTCCGGATCAAGCGGTGTCTCGCACGCACCCAGCCCCTGTTAAACCGTGATCCTTAGCGCCAGCCTCCCATTCACTTTCACCACGTAGCCCTGGAACCTCGGTCTGGCGCATCCGGCACTCCTCTTTCTCCTCTTCTCCCTCTTCCGCCTTCGTGAGCGAGGCACATGCTGCTCGGACTGTCGCTGCTGTCGCCAAGGTGGAAACGCACACAAGGTACTGTACGGACGAGCTTGGGTAAGTCTCGCTGGCTTGCGGAGATGGTTGCAGATCTCGAGTTCTGGAACATTGCAGTCTTTGTGACCGAAAAGAGTGATTCCCAGTGCTGCTGTCCAGGATAGAGGGGTCCGGACACGATGTGTGCTTCTACCTCATGACGACAGGTGTATCCTCCAACTCCACGCCCCCATTGTAAACCTCTCGGTTCCGAACACTCTTGGGAGAGCCGACGTGGTATTATGTCCCCAACGATGCAGATTCATTAAATACTGCACCCTCGAGAAGTTGAAACCCTTATGCAAATACGACGACCGATCCTCCTGCGAACACGGCAGCTCCGAGTCATCTCACAATCTTGCGGTGTCTGTCCGCTCGGGATGGTGGTGTTTGCGGCAGTAGTAACAGAAAATGATGTTTGGCAAATCGCGGGAATGGAGTGAGAGGAAGTCTTCGCGCTCTCTTTGGGGACCTGTTCGGGCCGGAGAAGAGACGACGAGGAAGAGGGTGCGTAGCTTCTGGTGATTAGGCCAAGGTAACTCCTCCCGAATATTTGACCGGGGGCGTGAGGCGAGGGTCAAGATTGCCGCAGAAGAGTAGGGCAGGTAGCTTGCAATTTCGAGGGGCTTCTCGGTGGGTAGACCATTGAGAGAATTTTATGGGATTGGGATGAAGACAGGAGACGGCGGGTCGGTGCCGGAGTAGTGATTGGAATGGAGACTGGAGGCAGCTAGCTCGTTGCTGGTGGAGCACTGGATAATGCCCCAGACTAGGGGTATTTCTCTCTCCATGATTTCCGGAACTTCCAAATTCTCATCTTGAGACGGGCTATTGAAATTGTGCTGTAAGCCACGCAAGTGAAAACAGGCTGTAAGCATGAAATGTGCACTGGAAGGAATAATGCTTTTGGATTTTAGCATCAGTAGAAACATAGAAATAAATTCCAATTTTCTTGCTATAACTGTTCTGCTTCACGTGGTAGACGCGTCTGTGGCAGCAGGATGCTGGTTCCAACTAGAGACCCAGCACTAAACTGCTTACCTGTCCAAAAATGTACCATCAAAGGTTGGCTTCCGTTAGATTTGCCGAGTGAAGTTAGATTAGAGGGTCAAGAAAGTTCGCGGAGTTGAAGATGCTTTCCCTGCAGCTCTGTTTTTCTTTGCCGGACTTGAATAGGGGGACCAATCACGTGATAACACCAATGCTCTGCCTGAATAGGCACCTCCAGCACCTCATCCGCGCTTTCTGATACCTACGCTTCACTTCACCGATTATTCGTATTCAGAAGCGAAGTTTTTTTTTGAGAAGGATGAGATCTCTTGGATAAAATTCTGTTTCGATCCTTTTTTCTTACTACCGTCCCGGGGTTGGAGGACACAAACTCGGTCCAGCGCAAAGTACCAAAATATGTTAGATATAGCATTTAAATAACGCTGCGGAAGCCAGTTCTACTAGCAGCCAACAATTATACTATATTAATCTCAGCCTCAAAGCCCCAGTCCTCGAACCGCCCTTCCCCTTCACGCCTAGCAAACAGAGTCAGAGGGAGCAGCCCATGACCATGATAGAGCGATATAGCTAGTGGGGTTTGAAAGCCAGATCTAGTGACTAGAGAGAGACTAACAGATTTCTCTCGTAAGATTTTTCTTCCAGATCCCTGCGAAGTATTCATGCTTGAGTATTTCATTAGTGGCTCGTGCCAGGCCAGCTATAGCACGCAGCTTGTCCCTCTCTTTAGTAAGCTCCTTGGATGTGTTTTCAGTGACCAGTTTTAACCAACAGTGGTATGAATTATCAGGATCCACTCAGTCAAACGAGTCTTGGGGATAATCTCCTAGCACCCCTGTAGTACCTGTACTCGTGAACGTTTGCCAACTCTGGAACACAGTCTCGGAATTAGCGGCACGAGGGTTTGCATAGGGTCGAGTGGGGTCAGGGTAGTCTGTGAAAGCTTTCATTGACGCATATTCCCGTAAAAGTTGACGAGGGGTGAAGTGAACTGCTCTCCTCGCAAGATGGCGCTGTTGCGCAACCCATTCCCGCTGGGATAGAGGGCCACCTCCGGAACCGCAAGTTACGTCATTCCAGTTAGAAACCACGGGGTGGATCATCACAAACCGAATTGTAGCCATGTCTCCAGAGGTTTCCCACTTAAAGGGCCCGGAGCATGGAGGGAGAGGGCTTAAGCCAGCGGGATTGAATAGACCTTCCGTTGAGTTCTTGGATGAGGACGCCTAGTAGTCGCCAACGGCGTTTCCATATACGCTTGGCATTGTTGAAAATTCGATCTTCATATCCTCCGCATCATTTTGAACAATGCAGACCGAGTCAATCCAGAGATAGCGCACCTCGACGTCTTTGGTGAGCGATGTTGCTTGTTGGAAAGTTAAGGGGGAGTCGAGGGAAGCTTCCAGGCGAGGCGATCGTTGAGATTACGGACAATTGTATTCTTCGTCATGTGGTGATGATAGTATCCAGTTTCTGTGAACGGAGTGGGAGGAATGTCGGTGCAGAGCTCGCAAATCATCGTGACTCTAGCTCGAAAGAGACAAGTTTCTCTTCCGTAACCCAGACTTGATTTAAAACGAGAGTGCAGATTGCCGATGAGATTACAGAAATTTCCAGTCGTCTGAAGTCACAGAGGCTACTCGGCGCAGTCAGATTCTGCCCACGATTCACGTGAGCTTTCACTAAATATCATAAGTTATCATGCTCTGCTCTTTTACACAGGGAAGAGTAAGGCGTGAAATACCGCATACTTGTGGATAAATATGTGAATTAAATGCAGTAGGAAACCCCCGAGGTTTTCGGGGACGGATGAACTAAAACAAAGAAAATAATTCAAGTCCTTCGAGGAACATTGGCAAACAAGGGGAGTGAAAAACAATGGAACCGAGAGACGGGGGAAAGCTGTGCAGCCTCATCACGACGAGCTCAGCAAACTTCTCCTCTTTCTTTCACTTATTATCTCAACCTCACTACGCGAGAGAGAGTCACATCAAGTACGGGCCTGACTACCACATGCCCAACGATCCTCTTGCCCGGCAACCACCCTACCAAAGCCCGCATTCTCCGCCATCTTCTCAGCCATTCTATTTGCCTCAGTTTCTAGTTTCCCGTCTTTCCCGTCAAGTCTCTTCTCGTATACCTTCCCAATAACCCAAAGAAGAGGAAGCTGCCCAAGAAACATCCTCAAATCGAGCAAAGTGATTGTCCATATAAACGGTAGAACGAGGTGGGTGATGCTTTCAAGCTCTCTCCTGTGTTGCAGGAGCATATGAGCGAGAGTATGGGAGAGCAGATGTGCGAGTTCTGTGTTGGAAAGAGAAGTGATGGTGGAGGTGGCGATAATCAATTTGTTTCCTGGGAGGATATGTGCTAGAGGTTGCGTGAAAGCAGAATCTAGTCTGTATTATTGATTATCCCTTCGAGACTAGGCAAATTGAAGGTATCCAAATAGTGTCTAGAATTAGGAAAGAACGCTTACCTTCCTGCGCATTCTCGATAATCATAATCTCCCACCGCCTCCCTTTCTTCTCGATAATCATAATCTCCCACCGCCTCCCTTTCCCCGTCAGTCCATTACCACCTAGTAGCCGCTCGAGCACAAAATGCACCCTCCGAACCCGGTCATCCTCGATGCCTACTAAGTGCTCCTTCAGCTTCTCCCGCAACAACTTATATTTCACTACGCATTGTTTCTCCATCGAATCCTCGGAAACAAGCATGAATCGTCGACGTCCATGAACATCGGGTACCGCCTCGAAGTGTGAGCCGAAGTAGAGGAGCGTAACGCTCAGCATGCTGAGGCTGAAGATACGAAAATAAACATTCTTGCGGAAGGCATTGTAGTACGATGTCCACGGACCATATTCGTACTCAGGTAGTTTTAGGGGGCGGGAGGAAGTGAAGCGGTGGGGAACCACGGGGCTGGAGCCTCGGGGTCGTCGGCATGTAACTTGAAGCATGCGCAATGGTTGAGGACAGTGCCGAGCAGTCGGCCGGTATCGAAGTAAAGAAATCATGAGTGCATGGCTGGTCATTCAAACAGAGTTTGCAGTAGATGGTAAGTTATGGGTGCTCTTTTCCTGTTGGTGATAGGATGGCGTTACACGACAGGACAGGGGCATGATCACTGCATGCAAGGGAGTTTCCCTTGCGTGAATTCTCAATGACCTAATGTGTGACAAGAATACTCCAGATAAGTTTAAATTAGTATTAGATTTATTTCCACTGAGTTTCTTATAGGAACTGTTTATATGGGGTTCATACTTTTGTGGTTTTGAACATCAGGTCGGGTGAGATGCGATCTTCCTCTAGATTTCAAAGTCTGGAGAGTCCGAAACATCCCACTCGATATCTTCGATGAACATGCGAAGCGGCAATAATTATTTTATGAGGAAGTAGGGACAACTGAGCACCCCACGACAAAGCTATACAATTTTATTAGTACCTATAGCCTATACTTTAGCGATAAGAAGCCTATAATTATAGGGCTTCCTTTTCCTTGCGACTCACGAGTCTCGCTTTCCACTTCTCACTTTCCACTTCTCACTTTCCACTTCTCACTTTCCACTTCTCACTTTCCACTTCTCACTTTTCACTTTTCATTTTTTACTTTCACTCGCCCGCCCTCTAATCCCCTCATCTCCCCCCCCTCTCTCCTACCCCTATGCTTATATGTATATAGATAAGACTTAAAAAAAGCAAGTAAATTATTTTAAGTGGTAGTAGAGGCTTAGGGAGAGGGGTGCAGGCGCGGCGTGTGGGTGTGGACGATTTTTGGTGGGTGAAGCATGCAAGTGCGTTTTGCGTTGGCACATCACGTCCTTCCGTCTTTCCGTACTCTGGTGACAAAAAGTTCAAAAATAAGAATTTGTCTCCACCCATACTAGCTTCATCAGATGCAAAAAGTTGCAACCAAAGGTCAAACGTCTATGGTAATGTTTCAGTCCATCTGCTTTCGGCATGGGAGACACAAGGTGGCGCAGCGAGGCTGGCAGGCAACCTCGCTCGCACAGCCATGTACAACGTTACACAAAACACACAATTTGGAGAGATACTCGGGATTGTTCGCAATATCGCTCATAGTTTACGCCACAATTCCCTTTTACCTCACCTCATGAGAGAACCTTGGCAAGGATGGCTTGGGAGGAGGTGGGTATAAATTCTGAGATTGGCCCCTCCCTTGACCATTTGCGGGGTCTTGCCCTGTTAAAGCATGTAAGTTTCATCATGTCTCCAAACTATAATCTCATCCGTTTAGTTTTGTTCCTCTCCTTAGCTGGGGTATCCTCTGCCAGAGGGCGCTTAAGGGAATCTTACCAACACTTCTTTCCCGATCTCGAAGTAGAACTCACCAAAATAATCACCCAAAACTGCTCAGCACTGTTCCAATCTTACCGTCAGGAACAAACTTTATTGTACGGCACGTACTGTGTCAAACTTTACAGCTGCATTATACCAAATGTTTCCGAATACACAAAGTCAAACATGGCGACATCTGGAGTTCTTCTTGGCCTCTCGCCCTGGATTCTGAGTACCATCGGATCGAGTACAATTGAAATGTCACTCTTGTCTTCGAGACGACCAGTGTTGGCAGCATTGCTTGTATTAGGTTCACCGGCTATGAATCCAACAAAGCCTTTTCAAGAATACAACCCAATCAAAAAGCTTCTAATGCAAAAGGGAGAACAATGGTGTCACGTGCTATGCACAGGCCACACACAGATATATATAGCTTCTTCCCCGCCTTTAGGGCACCATCATTCCTTACTATTATACCAATATACACCCATATTATCCCCACAGCCCCTTCAGGCCTTGACAAATGGTCTCCCGGGCAATCGAACGGAAGGAAAAGTACTGTTTACATCGTACTTGAATTTATAGCTGCACTGCTAAGCATTGCGAACTTGGCAACGCTGAGCTGGACTCTGGGGTGGAATACAATTTCCACAATGAGTTGCGATGACAGCGACACGTTGGTGGAACTATGGATCGGCTTAGCCATCATCGCCCATATTTTGGGCATTGTCACCTTTTTCCGGAGGGCGCGAATCCACGTCGACCGAGGCGAAGACACTTCGAGAAGCAGGCTTGGACGTATGGCTCGAAAAGCTCGTGACTGGCTTGGACTTATTCGAGAGTTCAAGCTCTGCGTGAATCAAGGTGCTTTGGATGTCACCTGGGATCAAGAGAGCGGGAGTTTCGCCTTCTGGTCTTGGATAGCAGCTCTCTATACTATTGCTCATCTCACTTTTGGGACTTTGGTCCTCTCCTCGCTGTCGTTTATTGGTAAGTGTCCTAGAGATCAGAACATCCCCAATGCGTCGGAACATTGTCTTGACCGCCAATACAGGCATCCCAGACGCAACCCAAATTGTTTCTCGGTTTGTTGCTTCGGCAATCGTGTGTCGGTGTATCGCAGCGTATGAGCTTGCTGGTATGAGAGCTGCTCAAAGTCGGGGCCAAGAAAACCATGCTCTCTCTGACTTAGTCGCAGGAGGGCTTGTTATCGGACGACCGAGGATTGTAGATCCGTCAGGTGCTCCAACTTCTTCTCACCTCTGGTGAGAGTTGGGGAGAACTCGAAATTTGGGGACTTGGAAATAAATGACACTTGCCGCCATGACAAGAGACTGTGATTCAATTCCGATACGCACCAATCTTGAAACCATAGTTGTTCCAGACTTGGGGACCAATTATTCTATGCAGTTTCAAATTTTCAAACTCCTATCCCTAAAATATATATACAACGAAAGTATGTAGCAGAGACATTCAAAACACCTCAGACCACAAGAGCGAAAAATTCGACCGAACTGGCCTGAGCACGGGCTTATCCTAAAAGGAGGTAGAGCGCGGCACGGCAACCTCCTTTTGCAATTCAAGTCCTAGTCGCTGATTCCTCAACCCGATATTATCCAAACGGCTAGGCTGACCATCCGCACTCATTCTAGTAAGTTGATTGTCCAAGCGCCTTCACATCTCATTTCACGCTCATCAGTAGGGCAATATATCAATGTAGAAAGTTAACATGTGTCAGATATTACCACGCTCATCATACCATCGGAATTTGGCGAAAATTTGCTACTCAACTCCTCTGATGACGAGCTTTCGAATCCAATCGACAGATCTCCGGTTCTAGCGCCACATGTATACGTCTTACCTCCAAAGTTCGTGGCTAAGAACGTCGTGCCTCTAGTGCTTGAAGATGCCGTTCAAGCTGTAGAGGTAGCCCATGCTCTCATTGCTCTGGGTCTTCGAGTTGCTCTTACTCAGTGTGAGCAAGAAATACTCAAGGTATTCATACTACTCATGAATATTCATGAGTAGTCTTAAATAGAATATGAGTAGCGTAAAACTCAAAAAATTTGAGTAGAGTAGAATATATATTCATGAATATTCATAAATAGTCACGTGGAAATTACGTGATTTTAGTAAATCGATATATATTTAATTTTTAAAAAAAGAATTAAGGTACCTATTAAGCAGCCTTATATAAACTAAGCTAGTACTTATATAAGGCTACTTAAATACTAATTTTCTATAATAATAAACTAATTATCCTCCTCAGAATCTTGTTTTTTCTCCTTTTTCTCCCCCCTTTTCTCTTCTTTTTTAGCCTCTTCTAATTCGTCTTTAAATAACCCCCAACTTTTTAAGCAAGTTATTCTCTCAAAAGTACTCTTATTAAGTCTATTTTGTAATTTAGTTATAATAAGAGCGCTTTGAGAGAAGAATCTCTTGCTAGGAGCCAAAGAAGCTAGAATTCCTAAATATTTCCTAGCTATTAAAGCTAAAGCAGGAAATCTAGCAGTATTAGACTTCCAATAATCTAAAGGCTTAATCTATATATATATTAGTACTAATATATAAAAAAATATTAAGAGAATATCGGATAATTATTTAATAGAATTTAAGTAAAGTTTACTTACCTTTCTATCTTCTCTCTTTTCTTCTAAATAAGTTACTAATTCGTCTTCTATATTAGAAGACTTATTAGTAATATATATATCTAAGTCATCTTCGTCGGAATCGGCCATACTAATATCCGAGAAATCAGATCTAGCTTAAGATATATTATAATTATATTTATATCTAAATATAAAATTGGTTATTAATTTATTAAAAGAATAATTAAAGAAATTACTTATATATTATAATTAGTCTTTAATCTATTATATATATCCGAAGACATACTATTAAATAAGCCAATACTAGTTAATTCTTCTTATTTAATTCGAGAATTAAGAATAAGAGCTAAATATAATACTTTATTTTTATTATCTAAAATATCTATTTTAGGATAATATTTTCGAAGTTTAGCTATACCCTTATTAATAGTATCTATAAATACTTTATTCTATTAAAAATTAGTATAATAATATAAGAAGAATTTAAGAAAAGACTTATTTTAAATTCCTTTTTAAAATTTTCAAGTTTATTATATATTTTATATATCTCAGATATAATATAATATATAGTCAAATAATTTTCGGCTTGTAATTTAGTTATAGCTTTAATAAATATTGAAATTGTATTTAAAATATTATTTAAATAAATAATTTTAATATTAGTTAAAACTAGACTTTTATTTTTAAAAGCCTTCGAATTAGAGCTATTAATAACTACTTTAATAGCTTTATATATATATATATATATAAAGTTCTTTAATATATAATAAGTTAAAAACCACCGTATTTTTTAATTTATAAATAATTAGTATTAACTAATAAATAAATAATTAATTAATTAATTACTTACTAAGTTAAAGAAATCGAGTATTTTCTATATTAAAAGCTTTAATTTAAGCTTCTAATAGCCGTTGGTTTTCTTAATTATATTTAATACTTATAATAGTTTTTCGAACCTTTTTCTAAATTAATAAATCTATAATTTATTAATAAAACTCTTATAAATTATAAAGGGAATTTATTTATTACTTATTCTATTTCTCTTTCTTCTTCTCTATCTTTAAGTTCTTCTATTTCATATTTATATAAATCTGTAGATAAGAGGTATTATAATTATTCTTAATAAAAGCTTTTAAAATATCTTAAACTACTAAATTTAATATATAATTTATATAAGAAATATCTCCTTAAAATTTAATGCCTTTCTTATTATAATACTTTATAAAAGCCTTTAATAAGGTATTATTTAAGCTAGTATTATCTCGAGTAATACTAAAAAAGATATATTAATATAAATTATTTAAAAATTTAATTAGAATTACTTATCTAGTAATATTATACTTAATATTATATTATTTTAAAGCTTTTAATAAAACAGAAAGTATATAAATACCAGAGTATATATTATTTAAATCTCTTATAGCTAATAAATAAGATTTTAATATAAAATCCTTATTTATAAAATATCTAAAATATATATTAGTATAAATTTCATTTAATAATTATAGAAATATATAAACTTATATAGTAATTCCGAGAAAGGCCTTTTAATTTATAAAAGTAATAGTATCTAAAGTAATAGAAAAGGTTTCTTAAGATTTAATATTTTCTAGAAATTTATTTTTAATATTTAAACTCTTTTTAATATAGCTTAAATTAAGCTTATCTATAAGTATTTTTAAATATAAAAATAATATTTAATTATTAAATATTAGTATATATAATAATAATAAAGAATATAATAATATTTACTAATTAAATACTTTAAAAGTAATTTAAAATCTAGTATATTTACTATTTAAAAAGAGATATTATTATTAATTATAAAACTTAATAATAGTTTCTTAAAGTAATTAATAATAAAGCTTTCTTTTCTTTAATCCGATTACTTATTAAAAAGATTATTTATAATAGATTAAGAGACTTAAAAAGAGCTTTTATTTTTGCTTATTAAATATATTAGTAAATAAAGCTTTTTAATTAATATTAAATAATTTACTATTATTATTACTATTTTTAAAACTAGTAATATTAATAAATTAATATACGTCTCGAAAATAAATATAATAATTACTTATAGAAATATATATTTATTAATTTATTTATATTTTTCTATTATATTAATTAGTAAAAAATTATTAAAAATTAATATATTAATTTATAAATAACCTTGAACTAAGTACTTTATAGTATATATATAAGTTTCTTGGGGATTCTCTTAAATAGTATTTAATATCTTTTTTAAGTAGTTTTTCTTAAAGAAAGAAGCTTATTTATTAAGGAATTTTAATTTAAACTCAGGGTAATTTTGAACTAAATTAAGCTTAATTAAGAATTATTAAGACATTTTCGAATATATCGAGTATAAATAAGTATATTTATAATAAAAAGTATATTTATAATAAAAAGTATATTTATAATAAAAAGTATATTATAATAAAAAGTATATTTATAATAAAAAGTATATTATAATAAAAAGTATATTTATAATAAAAGTATATTTATAATAAAAAGTATATTTATAATAAAAAGTATATTTATAATAAAAAGTATATTTATAATAAAAAGTATATTTATAATAAAAAGTATATTTATAATAAAAGTATATTTATAATAAAAAGTATATTTATAATAAAAAGTATATTTATAATAAAAAGTATATTTATAATAAAAAGTATATTAATAGGAGTAATAGTAGAGGTTTTATATAAAATTAAAGTATAAGGAAGAAATAAAAATCGAGGATATTAATATGTTCTTATAGAAAGTTCTAATATTCTAAGGGCTTCTTAATTATTCTTCTAATTAGAAAGAATCCCTTTATTTCGGAGATTCTAGTCTCCTAATTCCTGATTTTTGCTGATAGAATTACTATTATTATTAAGTTCTTAAGTCAAGGTAATTCTAGAAGTATCATGGAGATTCGGCTCGCTTACCAAGCGCCGCTACTACTTAATTAGGTAGCGAGGTGGCGCTAGAGCGGGAGTGCCCGGGGCTTTACCTAACAAGGCTAGCCTGTCACGTGCATGCGTCACGTGCACGTTACTCAAAGTATTCATGAATATTCATAAATAGCTTGATTAGAATATAAATAGAATATAAGTAGTGGGAATTTTTGATGAATAGAATATGAGTAGGGGCCACTACTCTACTCTACTCTACTCATTGTTCACACTGCTTTTACTCGATGAACAACCAAATATGATTCTGGCACTTGTTGTATTATGGATATCATTGAAGGGGTCAAGCTAGAAGAAACATGGCCGAAGTTAAGCTGGTTCACAACTATCCGACTCGCTTTTCAGCTGCGTGGGTTTATTCATCAGCTCAGATCGGTGACGTCTCAGTACGCAGGATCTCTAGTCAGCGGACAATGCAAGTAGTTCTGGCTTAACGATAAATTTTGCATACCTGATAGATCCGCTCCGTCAACCATCACATCATTCCTAAGATTTTGGATCAATTTCGTCTCTATTCGGAAGGCCAAGGCCAATGCTTCCTCTCCTCCGTTACCATCCACAGCCTGGATTCCACCGACTGCCGAGACATTGGTTCTCACTCATCATGACCTCGCTCCTCGAGATATCCTACTCAATCGCCATAACCAGATTCGGTTGATTGACGGCGATTTTGCTAGGTTTTATCCAAAATACTTCAAGCACGCATCAATATATGAATTCAACATCCCAGAAAGCTGGAACTGGTTCGCATGGCTAAGATGGCGGGCGTTCTCGTGTGTTTTAGCGGGGTTCTTTGAGAAAGAAAAACGCGTGCTGGGAGTTAGTTATCCAAACAAAGTTCACACGGTGGAGAGTGGGGCAGCGATTCGAGATTATGCAAAATGGAGTAAAATCCGAGCCATCTGTAGATTGAGTCGTGGAATATGCAGCCGGGAAACCTTAGGACACAAGGATTTGTAGTGCCGTCTTTTGTAATGCCACAGCGGGGCAGTTGCGTGTATTTTTGAGTGCGAGTTCTTATAATATCGAAGTTGAACTGGAGGTTGAACAACCCCCTGTCATGTGTGGCTGAGCTAGAGTTTGTTTGTTTGTTTAATTCAATACTCTTTTAACCCTTTGGATTATGTAGAGAAGGACTGTTTAGCAACTTCGGCATTGATAAAGTCCGTAGACAAGACATACAAGGGGCTGTATTTACAGAGCTCAGGCTACTTAGGAAGGCGGGTTGGCTTCAAAAACCAGCTATTTTCGCCAATGCAAGGGACAGCAAAATCCCTTGGGTTTGAAAATTTCGCATCACAGCGCCACCACCTCCAAATACTCTATATTAAGTATCAGAAGATATAGAAGATACACAAGTATCTTTTGTTTCTATGATGGTAATGATAAAAATCTGGGGAGATTTATTGCGACTTTTTGAATGCGAGGGAACGATTCTAAAGGGTTCTCCCTTAGCGAACTGGCCAAGTATTCAAAGCCGTCCCATCCGCCCTTCATATTTCCATCTGATACGATCTATGACACCCTTTGGGACGTTACTTTCTCTCACGTAAAATCATCACAAAGTAGTAGAAGTGTTGCTTTTTATACGCGGCCTCCTAAGTTCTCGGGTTCACCTTGCTCGATTTGATTCGAGATCGACGCAACTGATGCTCTGCCCCTATCCTCTACTTCTGTCACCCTTTTCCACATCCGGATCCTCAACCCCGGATCCTCAACCACGGACCCCCGACGATAGATCCGATTGGGTGATTGATTGATGCTCGATTAATCCATAGGTTCTCCGGATTGCGTTGACTGATTCGTTGTTTCGGATGGCTTGATTAGGTCGTGCACGGGTTCCAGCAGCTTGACTCTTTGATTGACTCGAAATCGGGGCTTGCCGGGGGGGGGGAGCTTGAATGGCGACGCCGAGAAGAGTTCGACTTTTGTCGGACCCCAGCCGAGCCGTTCGGCCCGATCAACATACGGCAAACCGGAGGCAGCACGGTCATGCCGGAAGCGATCACCCCTCGTCCCTTCGTCCCCTCGTCCCCGCATCCCCGACTCCTTTTCACGATCGGCCGATCAAACCGACGAAACGGTTCGGAAGTAAGTAGCCAAAAGTCTAAGTGCCACATCTATGGAGGGGAGAAGAGTCAGCTTTTTTCGGACGCTCTCCAGCCGAGCCGTTCGGCTGAATCCATATACGGCAAGCCGCAGACAGCACGGTTGTGCCGAAAGACATCACCCCTCGTCCCCTCATCCCCAACTCCACAACTCCCAACTGCTTTCGATGATCGACAGACCGACCGACCCACCGACCCACCGACCCCACCGACCGGCCGACAGATCAAACCGACGATACGGTTCGGAAGTAGCCGACATGTACTGTAAGTGCCACACATTTGCGGAGGCGCACGGAGTTGGGGTTGACCGCTTTGATCGGAGTCCTGTTCTTAATCTCTTCCCGACTTGGCCAACAAGGACAGGTCGCCGAGCTTCAGCCCTCTCCGCTCTGCTTCTTTCGACCAGACTAGTTGAGGCGGATGCACCCCAAGCATGGACCCTTGCTCGTACTACATGCGCAGGAGAAATTCCCAATTGTCGGTGAAAGCTTGCAGGAGCCAATCGCCCACCCACAAAATCCAGCCCTGTGGCGGTGTGGCGCTCGACTCGCGGGGCAATTTCCGCGTCCCGGCAAACCGCAAGCATGGTGGCGCCACAAATGGCGGTCATACCTGTACAACGGGGCCACCGTGTGACTGAGAAACGCCGCTGGCAAGGTATCTGTCTCAGCTACATGTGCGGGGGCTATATGTTAGAGGTGGTGGGCCCACATTCGTTTCCCCAATCCCTTTCTACCAAGACCGACCGACCGTCGAGTCGAACACCTCGATCCTCGAATTTTCTTCGCCCGCTCTTCTCCAAAATTGTGCAGCCCGCTATGGCACCCAGCTCGGCCATTGTTGGACTTGCTCCTCCGCCGCCTGGGGTAACGCCGAATTTTGCACATCCAGAGTCCATCGGATACCGTATTTTGATTACACTGGTAGTATGTTTGGTGCTGTGTACGTGTGTCCTCCTTCTGCGACTGTACACAAGGTACTTTATTACTCGTATGCTTGGTGCTGATGACTGTAAGTATCCTAATTCTCGGGGAAAATTCTGGATACTAATAACATAGACATGATAATTGCCGCAATGGTGTTTCTATCTTATTTGACCAGAATTCACGGGCTGCGTGTGGCTAACAATTTCCATTTAGCTTCTATCGATGGGTTATCTTGTTAGTGTGATCGAGCGTAAGTTTATATATTACGTTTGTCAGCCTGCTTAGTCTATAATTAATAATTCTTAAGTTATTAGATATGGAGTTGGGATGCATATGTGGGACATTCCTGTTGCCAATTCCCCTGTTATCTTAAAGGTAAGTGGCATTTGATGGCTGTAGAGTCCCGGGCGAATACTGTTTCAAGGGATTATTTTGTATGGTACGCTAATCATTTCCTCAAATTAGTGGTCAGTGACGCAAGGTGTCTTCTTTGGCCTCTCTATTTTATTCGCCAAGCTCTCGATCCTTCAATTCTATTTACGACTGTCACCGCACCCATACTTTCGGATCACTGTACACACGCTGTCGGTGACGATAACTCTATATAGCCTTGTGTGTTCATTTCAATTCCTATTCGCTTGCCGGCCTATGGCAAAGTATTGGGATTATTCTATTCAATACGGATCATGTATTGACTCGGTGATAATCTGGATATTCAACTCAGTGATGAACTCAATTACGGATATCACCATGATATTTCTGCCTATTTTGATGATGTGGAATCTACAAATCTCAAGAAGACAAAAAATTGCGGTGAATTGCATTTTCTTGTTGGGAGGATTGTAACGTCCCACCCAATCCAAGAGTATAGACAGAAGGCAAGACTAATGTCCCACAGTGTCTCCATTGTTAGTATTATTAGGCTGGTATATATCGTTATGTTATTATATATCAAATCCGACACCACCTGGTCTGCAGTGCAAAGTGGAATTTGGGCGTAAGTTTGCTTGTTTCACTATCAGTTCTTTAGGCCACAATACAGATACTTTATTACTGACCTATTCATAGTGTAATCGAGTTGTATGTTGCCATAATATGCGCATGCCTGCCTCATACCAAACCCTTCTTCATGCACCACTTCCCAAAGTTACTCCGGTCCTCAACCACACTGCCATTTTCAACCGCACATCCCTATTCAAATACCCAGCGCTATTCAAACTCCCAGGCCTTTTCTCGCGGGAACCGATCCGAGGCGAACGACGAGGACGAACTAGACACGTGCAAGGATATTTCACTTCGGGTTTTGGTCACAGGCGGCAAGACAGCCACACCGTCAATAACAGACACGGAGAGTCAAAAAGCCATTTTGGGTGACGACGGTATTTTCGTTCGTTCAGAGGTCCATGTCGGGGAGGAATCCGCTCGTCGAGATATACCCTAGCGTCCTTCGCACGAGCGTTTTTTTCGAGAGAAACTCTCGGGAAATTCTGCCCTGGAAATCTTTTCTCTCGTCTCGTTCCTGCGTATGGGGCTGGTTATTTGGGAGTTTTGTAATATATCGGGAGTCCTCTTGCATCCAACGGGCTTGGCTATCTGACAAAACAAAGGGGGAGTTTTATGACTGACTCTTTTATGTATTTTTTCAAATAATAGATGTTCATAGCATTATTATACAAACTCGCAGAAGAACAAGCGGTGGCAGCCTTACGAGTTAAGCTACAGCTACCAACCTTGCATATACAAAAGAACTGTTCTTTATTATTATACCGCAGGAGATAAGCTATCAGCAATCAGTTTCAGAGGTTATCGTTGGAGCTGTTGAAAGCTGAGTATACACCCTCTGAGCAAGGCTCGCTCCACATGCTCCCCTGCTTGCATGAGAGAGATCAGCGGCGGCGGAGGCATGCCCCCCGCCCCCACCTGTTCCGTAAAAAGCCACACCCCGGTCCAAGCGCTGGGACGGTGCGAATCGAGACGGAGATCGCGGCATACAGTAAAGTGCCGGGACTACGGAACATTTTCGTCCGTCTCACCAGGCTACAGGGCCTATAACTTTAAATCTTGTGCCCTGAACCTTTACCGCGAGGCTTTTGAAACGTTGCAAGGTTAAGGAGGAGCTTCAAGGGTTATAGCACTGCCGGCGGAGCAACTCTTCCTTTGTCTAGTATGACGGCGGGATCAATGCCATGGTCGGGGCTCAAAGTTCAGAGAATCTCATGTATTGAAAATACTAAAGCTAGAGAGTAAAGGAGAGCGGAATGCCTCGACCTTTAGTAGTGCTTTGCTAACCTCTAGCTTACTTGCCCGTTTCAGGCGTGTTTCCTCTCGTGTGATATTCACGGCAGATCATGCATTTATGCCGGCCGTTACAATAGTGCTACTGGCAGAGCAATTATCCCTTCGTCTAGTGCGTACTATCCGCAATTGTGGCTAATAAGTGGTTTTCTGCCGGTCTCTTGCCCCGCACGACCTCTACTATATTTACATACAATAAGAGCGTTTACTTACTACAAAAGCCGTTACGAGGTTACCGGAGAGCTTGTTTTCCCACGAGAGGCTGTCTCCTACGAGAGCCTATTTGCTTGCGAGTACTTATCTTCACAGAAAGGCTGTCTCTCACTAGAGTTTATTTGTTTGTAAGCGGTGGTCTTCCTACGAGAGCCTGTCTTTGGTACGAGAGCCTATAATTGACGTAGTGCGGGGTATAATTTTGCCTTCACCGCCCTGAGTTGTTACTGGAATTGTGGACAGTGCGTCACTATCAATTCACGCTGTCGGAGACGCGTCGTCTTCACCATCACCGCTTTGCTGCTGTTCAATTGCCCCTGCTTCGAGGATTAACGGAAGGTTTGTTCCCGCGGAACGATGTTATATTCATTTGCATGAACTCTGGGTTTAATGTAAAACATTTCTAATGATTTCAAATCATTATACGACCAAGGGTGCTAGAGAGGCTTGGAAAAACCGCTCCTTCTCCCCCATGGAATAGCCACATGGCTTATCATGAAGAGGGGGCTGGATTCTCTCAACCAAACTATTCTCTAGAGTTTCACGGCAGTCGGGTTTTAGCTTCAAAAGAACGGATGACTAAATATTCCCACTTAGGGCCCGTTTCGCACGGGCTCACGAAGTTGAAAGCTGAATATTAGTAATATTGAACTCTAGCGTTCAACGCCCGATATTGAACGCTAGTATCTGTATAATTTGGACCTGTTTCGCACGCCGTAGATACTCAGTATTCATAATAATTACGAAGGTTTCAGCTTCATTTCCGCTAGCGTTTTTAGCCTCTATTTTTAGCTTCATTAATCTTCCACTTCTCGTTCCCTAATAATTAGCAATTACTTCTTATAATTATAGTATCTTAAAGCCCGAATTTATTTTATTCTTAAATGGAAAAGTAATTAATAAAATAATTATATCTTATATTACTTACTACTAAATAAATTAATCCGAGATTATTTCTACGAGAATCGCAAAATATAAGGCTTTAGAAAGAATTTATATCCTGAAGTCATTATTAAACTTGTCCCAAAATAAAATGAAGGAAGATAATTAATTATTAAATACGGGTATGCGATGGAGCTCACTGTAAATTAGGGCATTTAGGGTGCATAGGGTATATATGGTGGCCTAAGGCCGAGCTTTGAACGCTTAGTATGGGGGCAAATACTGGCGTTCAAATACCAGCGTTCAAAGATAGTTTCCAAAAAAATGCGAAACACTAATTTTGGTAATATCCGAACGCTGGCGTTCGGATATTGGCAGTATTCGAATATTGGTGGGGTGCGAAATGGGCCCTTACATTGAGAGAGCATGCATTGAACTGCCCCTCGAGCGCGCATATCCACTTCAATGCCAGACCTACCTAGGAAGATCATCTTATGTCAGACGAGGACGGAAGACCCCACTTCCTCCCGGCCCCTTTTTTATTGTGTCACGTCGCAAGGATTCTGTCGCTCACCCGAAGATTCGTCTTTGGGTCTTTCCACCAACAGGGGACTTCAATCCTCTACCACGGTAAAATGCACCCACTGGTCAACCCTCGGGAGTGCACAATGCCGAGCCCGAATAAGAAGTCAATAGAAGGACACCCTAAAATGAGGAGACAAGCTCACCCGAAGGTCTGCACAGGTTGCTTGACCTGCGAAGTGAGTACAGGTTCTTGTCCTGGCCGTGCTTTAGTTCACCTACTAATGCTGCTGCTATAGAATCGACGTGTTGAGTACGACGAAGCCAAGCCAGCACGCGGGTGGTGTAGTAAAGTTGGTCTTGACTGCGATGGATATGTTGATCCCTCGCAGAAGAACAAGAAATTCTACAGATTGTACCCGAGCTCGCTGCAGTATCTGTGAGAGAACTTGCTGCGTTGCGGCCCGTCTCCCGATCGCCACAGCAAACCTTCTTCAGAAATGAGCAGGAACGTCAATACTTCAAAATTTTCAGTGATGAAACTGCAGACCAATTATCGGGGTATTTTTAAACAGAGCTCTGGAATCGTCTTGTCTTTCAAGCTTGCGAGAGCAGCTCCTCGATACGACATGCTGTGATAGCAATCGGCACCCTGGATCTCAATAAATAGAAATACTCTGCCAAAATCATGGAAGAGAAATTGCGTTGTTAATTTGCTTATCATGAGGTGAGTTTGGTAGAGGCAGAACGCTTCCAATTTCGTATATCTGAGGAGACTGGGAAACAATGACTGACTTGTAATCCTAAAAGTACTCCAGGGCGATCAAAGAGATGAGAGATACGATATCCAAAGGGAATCTGGACCTGAGAATACAACTCATAGCTATCATTCTCTTCATCTGCTTCGAGATATACCACCGCAACAGCTCCTCAGCAGTTGCTCAAATCCGAGCGGGGAGCTCCATGATTGAAGAGCAATGTCGCGAGTGGAATACGAACAACTGCGTCTCAAGGCCTCCTCCCAGCATCGACAGTGAGCTTCTAGAAAGCTCCACCGGGGGGACTTGCTCAACACCTGTTCGCAGTGTCCCCTACGAACCCGCAGCTCATGCCCTGCGTCCCTGGTATTACACTGCCTCCAGGGGACAGAGGAGAGTCTGCGAAGCCGAGATTGAGCGGGTGGTTGCTGGAGGTGGCCCTTCGGGGGTCCTCCTTAGAGGAAAAGGTATGGAGAATCACTCTGGGTACCTGGGAACGATCTGAGGAGAGGTTAGAGGAGCTCGTAGCCGCTAATGGAGGTCTGCAGACCTTTTTAGAGGTAGAGAAACTCCATACTACCACTATATAACATTGAATACCTCCCCCTCGCCGTCGACTCCCTTACCGCTACTCCGAATTCGAATCGATAATAATATCTCCCCTCGTAGTCAATACATATATTTACTAGGCAAAAAGAAGGCTCAAGGTCTAATAAAGCAGCAGTTCTCTATAGCTTAATTAATGGCTATTACCTATAGTACTAGTAATCATACAGATATCCAGAAAAAATCAAGAGTAGTCATCTTCTTATTACTCCCTCCAGTTTTGGCTTTTGCTACGGTATATATAATGGACGGATAGATAGTTTTGGGATACTATATAAAGTCCTACGGGCTAAAAAGAGGAAATACGAGATATATATTATACTTCTACTTTCTTTATATATACTAGATACTATAAAGGCTAGTATATTACTAGCTATAGAATTAGTATACCTAAACCTATATTAATTAAGATATCTTATATTCTCTAATAACTATATAAAGGGTAGAGTAATATTAAGATATAGACTACAGGTACTCTTGAGTACGGTGGCTGGGAAATACCTCTATAGCCTTGGTTTAGGGTAGACTATAGAGCTTTTATTAGTTATAACTACCCGGGTATATAACTCTCCTTCTAAAAAATACAAAAATAATATTTAACTATAGAAAGCTCTACCGAGTTTGAAATACAAGCTATTATATATAGTAGTAAATAATAAGCTCTAATAATTAAAAGTTTATTTTTATGCCTTAGAAATTAAAGTCTATTTTTAAACCTTAATAATTAGAGCCTATTTTTAAGCTCAAATAATTAAGGCCTATTTTTGAGCCCTAATAATTAGGATGGATTTTAAGTTCTAATAATTGAGGCCTACTTTTAAGCCCCAATAATTGGGGCAAATTTTAAGCCTAAATAATTAAGGTAAATAATAAGCCTCAGTAATTGGAGCGGATTTTAAGCCCCAATAATTAAGGTAAATAATAAGCCTCAGTAATTGGAGCGGATTTTAAGCCCCAATAATTAAGGTAAATAATGAGCCCCAATAATTGGGGCAAACTTTTGGTGCGGTTCCTTATGCAGTTCCTTAGCCAGGGAGGTGCCCTTTGTTGAAAATCAGGGGCTGTGCGCTCTGTGGTCCACTTTTAAGTGGGGATGTAATTTCCAGAGTTTTAAGGAAGCTGGAGCTTTCCTAGAAAAACACAACAATTCAAGCTTCATTTCAACACCCTTACGGGGCGGGGACGGTACGTAAGGAACTGGCCCCGTAAGGGGGTAAGCTGACTAATCCCGCATGCCTGTGGTGGACGAAAGGCCGACAAGGTCCATACACAAGGCTATAATCTGTCACACCAGGGAGTCTTTTGTTCCATTTCAACTTTAAAACCATTTCAACGTAGCCGATTTTTAAGGCTCATATATGGCAGAGCGGCTGAAATGCCCAATATTCTCAGTCTGCAGTTGTATGTAATAGCTTTTTCCTTGCCCACGTATACGTAGCCTTACGTTTTTTCACGCACATGGAACTAATTTTTCGAAGGACCAGAACTTCTTTTTCTTCATACCAATCCAATCGAAGCCGAGGAGCGTGAGGTGGTGAGATGATAGGGGCATCATGTGCGGAATCGGACAAGACGTTTCATTGAATCTCATTACAGCGCTTATGCTTACAGGTCACGTGCAATCTAGGTAATCTCCGACATCTCCAAATCTCAAAACATAGAAGCCCAGCTTCAAGTCTTCATTTTTAGGCCTCAGACTATTCACGAGGATGGTTCACCTACTCAACAACATCTCGAGCCTCTGAGTAACAGGATTGCCTTCAGGCATAATCAAACGGGTTTGTGCGTAATATAGGACCGAACCCTTGAAACAGCCACGTGTGCTTACCCTAAGGTATGCTTTGCAAGCACAAACACCCCAAATCATCGCCCAACAAAAATCAAGCACTTCTACCGCTCACACAGCGCCAAGGACATCCAGCAGGCTGGAAACGACTTTATCTATTCGTTTCCGGCGACAGGAATAGCTCAACGAGACACCATGTTAGAGCTTCCTCGCCCAGACCACATTACAGATCATGGGGATATCGACGGTCTCAGCGATCTTTCAGAGCCCCTTGACGAGCAGCGAACTACGCCCAGGCCAGTTCTCTCGTTCCTCGAGAAGAAAAATTTAGTCTTTCTGTGTTCGATTTACTTTATTCACGCAATTCCGCTTCAATTTTCGTGGTACACTATGCCCATCATTCTTCGCCAACAGCTCAGCTACAGCGACGTGGGTACCTTCTTGATCTCTCAGTACCCGTACAGCTGGAAGGCAGGATGGAGTCCACTCGTTGACGGACTCCACCACCCGTTCATCGGCCGAAGGAAGACATGGATTGTACCATCTTTAGTGATAGGCGGTGTCGTCCTCTTCTGGCTCGCATTCACGCAAGATTCTCTTATTGCAGAATTAGCAAGTGGCAGGTCGCTCGCAATGGCATGGCTGGTGCTTACTTGGTTTATGGTCATGTTGGTTTGTGCAAATATTCGCATCGCACTTGACTCATGGTCTATAAATCTTCTGTCGCCGCCCAACGTTCATTGTGAGTATTAGGGAGAAACATTCTTCCTTATTTCTGACCATCTCGAGATATTTCTCCCGAGGTATCACCCTCTCCTGAGACACCCCATTTCGAGCAATTACTGACTATCCCGTTACCTAGGGGCATCCTCGATTGCCACTATAGGAGAGACAGCTGCCAGCCTAATATCATGCAACCTTTTCTTAGGGGTGACGTCTCTAAATTCTCCAAAAGACGAGCCTGGTAAAGTGCGACCAGCAAGTACGTTCTTGTTCTTTGGAGCTTCGGCGGCCGCCTTTGTCACCACTGCTGTCCTGTTGCTGTTTGGAAACAGCGCGAGCGACAAAGCACAGAAAAGCCAGTCTATTCGGAAAGTCTATACTATCATCTGGGAGATTTTGAAGCTCCGACATGTCTGGATATTAATGCTCGTTCATATGGCGTCCATGATTGGATTTGTAACCAACGACACTATCACCACTCTCGAACTAGTCAAAGACAATTTCAGCGATTTTGACCTCGCCATTCTCGCAACTGCCGCTCTCCCTTTTGCTATTGCAGGTAGCTTTCTGGTTGCGAAAGCCTTCCAGACTAGGCATCCGTTGCATGTTTGGCGCAGGATGTTTCCATGGCGCCTGATTCTCGCCTTCGTCTCTCAACTTACTATTCTATTTGTTTCTCGGTACCCCAACTCGCAATTTCGCTGGCTTGTTGTGCTTCCACCATTCTGTCTGAGCCAACTCTTCTCAGTTGCAATGTGGGTTGCCTTCGTTGCGTTCCATGCGCAGGTGTCCGACCCTCAATTCGGGGGTATATATATGTCCGTTCTGGCAACAACGCTGAACATTAGATATGATACCTTGCAATTCCTCTGCACAAAGGCAATAGGCATGATAGATGGAAGCGATGACTTGACTAAACCGTCTCCACTTATTGATGGTTACCAGATCGTCAACGTAACGACAGTTATTTTGTCTATTCCTATTTATTGGTTTTTTCTGAGACCGGCAACGCTGTATCTGCAGACTATTGATGTATCTGCCTGGAGGATAAATTTTCAAGATCCTGCAGATATTATGGCATATGAGATGGTTGGAACTCTAGAAGACGATGAATAACCATAATTAACCTATATATGTTTGAGGAATCCTCAGTGCTTTCATTGCTAGAATTTATCTTTTCCGGTACTTGGTTCAATATTGCATGTAATATATTATATACCTGTTAGAAGGTCTCGGTCACCTTAGAGTAACTCAAGATTTAGAGATCGCCTGATTCTCCTAAGTCTATAGTTATATAAAATAGCATTTCTTTTAATTATATATTTCCCTAAGCATGAAAGTAACTGGTTTATAGAGAGCTTGCGAGATAGGACCGCCTCAAGCGAGTCTTCTTCCTTTTCCTTATTTAGCTTAATTATTCTCGGTCTATATTCTTTATAAATTATATAGTATTTATTTGTAATTATATATTTATATCCTTATTTAGCTAATAATATCTCAGATCTAAAATCTAAAAAGAGAATAAATTCCAGACCCGAGAATCCCTTATTACTCTTTTTAAGAGCTTTATAAATATAAGTATTCTAAAATAATAATAAGAAATATTAGTAAATCTAAATATATTTATAAATAATTTATTATCTAATTAGTAATTATTTACATTAAATATTATTAATACAAATACTTTTATTATTATTAATATACTAATTTAAAACATTTAATTTAATTTAATAGTTATTTATATTTATAAACTATAATAAGCTATTTTTTTTTAAAGAAATATAAAAATATATTAAGCTAAGGATTTAAAATAGAGTTCTATTTATATAATAATAATATAATAATAAGGAAAGAATAATAAACTAAATTTGTACTTATATTTCGAGTAATATAATATTATTTAAAGAAATAATTATTATAATAATAATTATAAATATTAAATTCAAAGTAATAAATCGAGAAAAATTAAATATTTTAGCTTTAAATTAATTATATTATTAAAGTATTTTAGCTAAGAAAGTATATTTTAAATAAGTTTTAATAAAATATAATAAGATTAAATAGCTTAATAAAAAGATATTAAAAAAGAAAATAATTAAATAATAAAAAATATAAATCTTTATAAATATTAAGAATAATAACTAGTTTATATATATATATATATTTTCTAATATAAAAGCTATTAAATCTAAAGAAGTAAATTATAATATTAATATTATAAATATATATTATTAGTATAGCTATTTCTTTAGAAGTTATATATATAGTTACGAGACTCGAAATACGGAATATAAGTAATGAAATATAAGTAATAGGATATAAGATATAAGATATAAAATACGAAATATAAGATACGAGATATAATTATATAATTTTATATTCTATAAATAATTCAATTAGTAAACTAGACCCTATTAGGCTTAATAGATTTAGGAATTATATATTAATACTATAATACTATAATCCTTATTTCTAAATAATAACTTTACTAATATAATATAACTAGTATTTCTATATTTATATAATAGTATTATATATTACTAGTAAACTAATAATAATTTAAAAAAATTAGCTAAAAAAAGAAAAAAAGAAAAAAAAGAAAAAAGAAGAAAAAATTCTTATATTATAAATATATTTTATATATTATATTATTATAATTATAAGAAATTAAATTTATTAAATTAAAAGAAAGCTTAGTAAAAAAAACTTATTAATTAAATTAAAAGTTTTAATATTTATATTTAAATAAAATTTTATAATTAAGAATTTTAACAAGTAATTCAATTATAATATAATATTATATAAATTCTAGATTAAAAATAATTCGTTTTAAATAAGAAGTAATTATAAGAAATATAAATAATATTTATTTAATATATATTTTTAAAAGCTTTAAAATAAAGTTCTAATATAAAGTTTTAATTAAAGCTAAGCCTTTTTATAATAATAATATTATATATAATTAAATATATATAAAAAAATATAGGAATTTTATTTATATTTATTTAAACTTTTTAAATTAAGTTTCAAATAAATATTTAATTATATATAAAAATATAATTTAAATTTACAAATTTATTAAATTAAAGTTATATAAATAATAATATGAATTTACAAATTTATAATTATTATAATAATAATAAGTAATATATATATATAAGCCCTAAATTTCTTAAATCGCGTTTTATAAATTCTTAGTTAGCTAAGTTTTTAAATATATATTAGTAATTTTAATATTTAATATTTAATTTTAAAAGCTTATAGTTTTTATAGGCTTTTATTATAAGTTTGAGAAACTTAAATATCTAATTATAATATATAAATTCTTTTATAAATTTTAAATTTATTTAAATTTAAATTACGGGATATATAAGATATATAAGCTTTATAAAACTAATTTAATAAAGCTAAAGTTATATATATATAATATAAATTAAATAAATAATATTAAATTAACTAATTATTTTTATAATAATACTAGCTAGAATTATAAGAGAAATAGCTATTATATAACTGGTTTTACTTAACTAGCCGGTATTTTAGTAATTTTAACTAGTATTTTTCTTCTTTTATTCTTTTCTTCTCTCTCTCTCTCTTTTTCTTCTCTTTAGCTTAGTATTTTCAATATACGGGATTCTCTCGAATCTTTAAGCCCTGGCTATTGCCTTAATCCCGCTATTATAATTTTATAATAATAAATAGCTTATATATAGCTCTAAACTAGAGAGCCTTATATCTATACCAGCTGAACCGATTCAATCGGCATAATATGCTAGGTAATAAGCCTATAGCTTTTAGCCCCATTAGTGCACAGCCCCATAGGATTCAGCCCCTAAGGCTTTCCCCAGGGCGTTCAGCCCCAGGGCTTAGCTAATTAGGGGCCTAAGGCCCCTAATTTCAACAGGCCTGAAAGGGCAGAGCAAAAGGTCACGTGCAATGATCCCCAGACGACTATCCATTTTACAGTGATCTAAAGCCTATATTTATATACACGCAAACGGCCCCTATTGCCGCCGAAACCCCGTAAAACCCCTGTTTAGCTGATAGCTGAACGGCTGAATTGCCGCTGTCAGCCTTAGGCACCAAATCCCAACAAAGGAGACTTTCATCAGCGCACCTCTCAGGCCACTGCGAGCCACAGCCCCGCCACAACGTAATGCTGCAGAAGCCTGCATTTCCCCATGTTCGAGTCAGATAAATAGGTTGCAGGTGAATCGCTCCGTGTGCAGACCTGCCTCGCTGACCGAGAGCTCAGTCAACCGTGAAATCAACTACGAACACCAGAAAACCCCGCTATTGTCGCGAATCGAGACATATCAGAGAGAACGGACTCTGACGGCCAATTCTTTCCCAAGCGTGTTGAAAGTTAACCTTGAAGGAGGTTCTCTCGAGATAAGAGCTGTGCCTACACAAGGGATCAAAGCGCAGCGGCAGGGTCACATCCAACAAGAATCTGCTGATCATACATTCCCGGGACCGTAAATTTACGCCAACTTCCTTCAATTGAACTTCTAACTTCTTCCTTCGCCATCTCCTCCCGATCCCCAAGCCACATACACAGCATCAACTTCTTCCATCGAAGAAAGCTCCTCGTCTCGACAGGAACCTCGTCGTCCAAAATGGCGTACTGCAACCCATGCAATCGTACTTTCCCCCACTGGGAAGCATACAACCAGCACATCCAGAACAGTCCTGCCCATCGCAGCTACGAGGTACACGAATGTCAACTCTGCGATCGGGACTTCTATTCTGAACAATCTCGCCATCAACATTACTCTTCTTCTCACAGGTCTCGATACTGTGTCGATTGCAAACGCGTTTTCATGAACGAGAACAACCTCATGCAGGTATGGACATTCCCTCTCTAGACCAAGACGTCGACTGACTTTGGTTCAGCATCTTCATTCCAGGACTCATGTTGGTGCATCTATTCAATGTCCTTGGTGCAAAGTCGGATTCGCGACTGCTTCCGGCGTGACCATTCAGTAAGTACAGCGAACTATCTTTCGCTGGACGCCATTTTCGAACCCTTCCTGCTCCAGTAGCACTTTTACTAACCTTCTCTTCCGCAGCCTCGAATCTGGCACATGCACAGCCTCCGGCCTCAATCGCCAAAAGATCAACCACATGGTCCACAAACTTGATCGCAACAACGTCATCACCCGCCCGATGATCACTCTCCCCGGTTACGCGAACGTCGAAACCATCGCCACGGAACGCGCCTGGAACGGACAAGCCTACGAATGCTACCTCTGCACCAGACAATTCACCTCCCTCAACGGGCTGAACAACCACATCAAGAGCCCGGTGCATGAGCAGAATCTGTATCGTTGTCCGAACTTGAGTTGTCGCAGGGAGTATAAGTTGCTGAGTGGGCTGGTGCAGCATGTTGAGAGTGAGAGTTGTGGGGTTATGAGATTTGGGATGGTGCAGAGTCAGGCGAGGAGTGGGATCCAGAATATGGTTGGTCGGATGATTGCTGGATAGAGGAGGGGTTGAACTTGGAGTTTTGGTTTGAGGTTGGCGCATTTTGCTTCAGAAGGCCCCTGATTTACACATCGCCGCAAGGCCGGATATGGGTCGAGAGCTTGAGGGATTGGAGTTGACATTGACTTCGGTTGGCGTTTCCATTTTTTCTCGGACGGCGGGGTATATTTTTCTGAACCTTGTGCTTTTGCAAAAGAGAGTTTTAGCAAGCGACAGCTCTTTGGCTTGGAGGAGAGTGAAAAGAGACAAGCTCTTCTCGAATCGCCTCTTCATGCCCTCCCCGCATCCTCTCTAGTCAAATCCGCCCCCTTCTCCGCAACCGCATAAACAATACTCATAATATCCCCACCAACATGACTCGGATGGAAGAAGAGTTCATCAAAGCATGCTACGACGTCTCGGAATCCAAGAACACACTTCACGACGCTTGGAGTGGTGAGCATCTGGGCTTCTATTCAAGTCTCGGCGCAGTCGACCGGACTGTAAATTCCGGGACTCGAAGTTATGCAGCGACTGGATACCTGAAGCCAAACTTGGATCGTCCCAGTTTGAAAGTCTTGACTGGAGCCTTAGTTTCCAAAGTCCCTTTGGAGGGTGCGGGGCATGAGAAGCCTAGAGGTATTAATTGTCCCACGGTCTGAATCCGAATTTTTTGCTGACTCTGTTCCCACTCAGCGACTGGGGCCGAGTTCATCGTCTCGGGCCAAGCCTACCTGCCAAGCGAAGGCCACCAGTGAAGTAATCCTCTGCGCCCGTGTAGTGCAAACCCCCCAAGTCCTGGTGGTCTCCGGAATCGGCAACCCCGAAGTGCTCTCCGCCGCTGGAATAAACACAATCGTCGAGTCTCACCCCGCCGGTGCCAACTTCCAAGACCACGTCCTCGGCGGCATGGTCTTCGAGTGCGCACCCGAAGTGCTTTCCCTGGATGCCCTGCACGGCGACGAATACGGCCAAAAGTAACAAATGATCTACGAAAGAGAGCACACAGGACCCTTCGGCAGCCCTGGCATGCTCATGGGCTTCGTCTCCTACGCTTCTCTCGTCAGCGAGAAAGAACTACAATCAACCATCGTCGAAATAAAGACGAACTCCCTTGCTAAAACATCCTCCGAGAAGAAACACGAGCAGTTGATCATCGACCAAAACTCAGCGACCCCACCTTCGCAAATCTGCAGACGTTCTTGATACCAGCGAACATGGACAGCTGGTGGCGACACACGAAATCCCTCGGCTCGCCGCCGAAAGGGAAGAGTCGCGTTGCACCACTTATTTGTCTCGAGCATCCATTGAGCAGAGGTTCAATCCACATCACCTCATTGGACCCGACAAAACCGCCACAGATCGACTGGTGGTATCTCTGAAACGGAGCCGACACCACGATCCTGGCCGCGGGCCTGAAGTGGCTTGACCAAGTTACTCGGTCTCCCATCCTAGCAAAGTCGTTGGGAGAAAGGGTGCAGCTTGCTCCGCATGTTAGTCTTGAGAGTGAGGGAGATAGGGCTAAGGTTCTCAGAGAGCATATTTCGACGCAGTACCATTTGATTGGGACAGTAAGCATGGGTGAGGTTGTGGATGAGAGACTCAGGGTTAAGGGTGTGAAGAGCTTGCGGGTCGTGGATGCGAGTGTGTTTCCGCATCCGGAAGTGGTTGAAATTTGTGTGGATGGGACCTCGATATCGTGAGCTTGGTTCCTCTTGGTTATTTTGAACGACGCACCATTTGTACCACGATACTTATCAGCAGCAGCATGTGGCATGAGCTGAGGGTCAAGTTCTTTGGTTTTATCGGAAGGGAGATCAGCAGTCTGAGGCTTCCTGAAGGTTGTCCCAACCCCACCCTTCGTTGCTCAACTCTCGCCATCCGTCATAATCTTTTCGAGAACCGCGCAAGTACATCAGATAATTGTTGCCACTGGAGCCGCCGAGCATCTTGCCTCGAGGCATAGAGTATACTTTGTTTACTGCCGTTGGCTATCCAAGATGAATCAGCATTGATGAACATTTCGTCCCACTGCGCCTACCAGAGCGGAACCAATGCAGTTGGAAGTTGTTGACTGACTTGGGGAATATTTTCCGTCATCCAATCCTATTCTGGTCTTTCAGGCAGCGTGGGAAACAGCGAGGGCGTCAAGACGTTCTTGTCGTCCAGCCTATTCTCCCCACCCTCCAATACACCAACCGTGATATTTGGATCCTCTGTCAATCGAGCAGCTACTCATAAGCCTACAAGTCCACCTCCGATGATCAGATAATCGTAGGAATGCGCAAGAAACTCGTCGACAGTGCACAGAGCTGATTTGGAGTGTCCATTGACACCATTGGTGTGTCCATTGGTCCCGTTTGTTGCAGAAGGCATTTTGATGGGAATTGTATAGAACTTGGGAATCAGCGAAGAATGAAAGAATCTGAAGACTCTTGGCCTGGCGGAAATATTGAAATATAAGCTGTTCCTACAGCCTTAAATTTGCGCCCCTTTTGGCAGCAGCCCCTCATTTTCCAACGGCCCGTGGAAAGCACCCCACTCGAGTTGCACGTAAACATTGCGGGGACGCTTCACGCCATCGACGTAGTGCATATCATAGTGTACATGTGCAATGCTGGTAATGCGGGGTACGGTGGAAATAGACGGAGATAAACAAGAGGAAACGTGGGGGTAACGCGGGCTGTGTGCATACTCGACCTAACCTTAGGACTGCGACAACTCAGTATCCTGTCATATAAAGAAACCTGCTGTTGGAATTGAGGATCGAGGAATGGCTGTCTTCTGAAGCAACAGTCTATTAATCTAGGCAATGAAAAGCTTGCGCTTATCACGTGGTATTAAATCATGTGACTTTATCATTTCTGAAATGCCATCACAGCATATCTGAAGGTCCCGTTGGCAAACCCTCTTCTCATGGCTCGGAAAGCTTGCAAGAATGCTAAGCCATCGCGACCCTGAGCTATCGCGAATGCCCACAAAGCTGGATTTTGAACCAGCGACCAGGAAATATCCCTGAGAAAGTCAGTCGCAATACCTCAGTGAATTGAGTGAGACTCACCAGGTCTTTGAAACCTTCTTGCTGATATCAAATGGCTCAGCAAATGTCTTCAGTCCAGCCTCTTGTGCCAAGCGAACATAATCTGCCTGACTGCAGAGTGGTGGAAGAAGCATGCCATCTGTACGCGTTGTCAGTCGACAAATCCACCGGGATGGGTATATTCAGACCTTCAATTGGCGAGATATCCGCCTTGAACTGCTCCTCCGTCAAGTCCTCAGATTTAAACCAGTCAGCCACGACCAACTTTCCGCCGGTATTCAACAACTTGGCAGCATTCTGGAAGAAAAGTTGCTTGTTTGGAAGATGGCTCATAGCTTCAGAGATCCACACACAGTCAAACTTTGTAACATTCGGTTCGGTGCTGAAGAAGTCTCCCATTTTCTCGGCATCGAGCTCGATGAAGCGGACAGAGCCGTCGCCCAGCTTGAAGGTGTCTTTTTGGCCCTCTTGCTGCGCACCGCTCGCCTCCAATGTCAATTTCTTCGCAATCTCAACCTGCCGGCCACTGATTGTCACTCCCGTGACTTTGCATCCGTAATTCTTGGCCAAATGACGTGTCGTGCCGCCGATTCCACAACCAACATCGAGGACCTCGCTGCCTTTTGGTAATGCGGAGCGCTCAAGCAAAAGATCGATCAATTGAACCTGGGCTCTTTCTTTTGTATCGGCCGGAGTGAGGAAATAACCATGGTGAATGTGCTCGCCCCTTGTCTCTCGGTCAATTGATCGGGGAACTAGGAATCGACCTCGGGACATACCAGAGGCTGTAATAGTAGTCAGACGCAAGTTCATAGTGGTGTCTGATTCGATCCTTCAAGGCATTGAAGGAGATGAAGGGCTCAGGCTCTGGGATCTCGTATTTCTCGCCGAGGTCGGTGGCTCCGTCAGTCTTCTCCACACCGCCGTTGAGCTCTTTTGGAGGCAATGGCTTCTCGATTGCCATCTGCGTTCTAAGAATTGAGAGAAATTTCCGGGGAAGAGTTGATCGTCTGGAAGGCGATGGCAAATGTCTATTGTTTGTACGTTGAGGTTGAGATCTCACAGCCCCTGGTACATGTCGGTTTAGCTCTCCCAATGCGGTAAGGGGTACCTCGCAAATTGGCCTACTTTGGTTAACCAACAACATCCCTGCAGTCGCGTTCTTCAAACCAACCTTCGCCTTTGTTCTTCATCTTGTGTTCGTCATCGAAATGCTGGAAGGGTGCCCAACTATCGACAGAATATCGCCTTTAAGTGAAGGGGGAGATGGTCGTGTGCTTCCAGTTGGGTTCGCATCCAGTTGGCGAGATGCTGCATTCACGACCTGACTCGTCACTCACGATAAGTGATTTGGAGGAAATAGGATCAACCCTTGCGCATCAGATCTCTTCAACTTTCCTGTTTTAAAGTAGCAAAAGCTGTCCAACACAGCATTCTGCCAGTTTCCCTGCTTTTTCTCCGCCTGTTCGAGTGGGATTGTGCCTGGTCATGTGCTCACGAGACACAAGTCCGTCCACTCATCCCATCTCAAGACCTTCACTTCAGGTATCTCCCATGTTAAACCTTCACTCCACCTTTTCCCAGTTGCAAAATACTTCAACACGTCAATACGGACCTCTTCAGCACCTTCGCGGCAGTTCTGCAACACTTTCCCTTCTATCTCGCCTTTCTTGCACCAAAGCTGTCATCGAGAAGCAGCTCCTGCAAGCTTTCGAGCCTCGTCAACCACTCGTACACATACGTCGGCAGCTAAGCATAGATACTCGCTTGCTCTTGTCCAAGTAACATTTGTCATGGTCTCAGTACCATGTTGCCCATCAAGGACGGCCCAATCCAGGCGAAGTTATTGCTTCCCCTTTGCATAGCCATCGGCCACCAACTGCTAACCTTCGGATCTTCTTTAACTCTTCTTCTGCATGCAGCCTCATCAATTCAAGGGGATCGGCCGGTCTCGGCGCCAAGTTCTGGCTCAAGGTTCCTCTCTCCAGCGTATCGATGAGAATGACATCCCGTTCGAAGTCAACCCAGACTTTCTTCTCCCACAATTCCCGTTGGTTCCATATCTGGTCATCAGCCTGGATTCTGTGCTCCCAATCGTATATGGCTCTGCGACCTTGAGCCAGCATAGGTACCCCTGCGAATTCCCTCTGATACCGTTTCAGAGCAAGTGCTCGGCTCTCACGACACACGTACAATTGGACTGGGCCTCACGGTGTTCTACCGGCCAGAGTTCCCATATCTCCTCCATTTTTCTCCGCTTCTTTGCGGACAAAGCTCGAATATTGCTGAAAAACTTCGTCGGGAGTAGTTGGGCTTTCAGAGCCGACAGTTCCAGCATTGGATCCCGTCAACACCGTGCAGCTGAAAGATATGGCCACAGTTTTTTGGAATATATGGAGCTCTCGCCCGGTGGTATCACGATGGGGCGGAGTGAGCCGCTGATGGATGTGCAGGCAGATAATTCTAGTCTCAAAGGATTCCAGCCAGATCATTTCCCGAATGTCTGTTGGAAGGCTGGAAAAGGAGCACGTGACGGCGTTGTTCTGTGGGCTTCGAGGGAGAATCCATTTGCCCTGTAAGGGAAGCACTCTCAGCCAACGAGGGGCTCGGCATGCTAGAGCTTCTTAAGAACGGGATGAAAGGCTTTACTGGTGGTGGTGGTTCTGCATGTAGAATTACCCCAGCTGAGACGCTGGAGCCTCAGCTCACGTGATTTCGGCGAACCATCAAGTTCCGGTCAATCTGCATCCACTGGCGCGTGCACGATATCTCTTGTCACCTTCGAACAACAACACTCCGCGGTTCAAGAACTTTGTCCACAGAGAGCAGAGCCCGGTGTATTTACATTCCCCGGGATCTACGAGCGAGATGGACTTTGCCTCCGATGACGCAGGGCAACGCAGGGCTGCCAACTTCGCCGGGGTCATAGCAATCCTCCTCGAAACCCGTGACCGTCAAGGCGTTAAGGAAATTGACATAACAAGCTATGCGAAAGGTCTCATCGACGCGGAGGCAGCTAGAAGTGTTCCGGGCTCTTCTAGTGTCCCAAACGATCCTGCCGACCAAGCCCTCGAGAAGGTTTACCACAACATTCCCCCTCACTGCAATCGTTGGAATCGACGCTGTCTTGTATGCTATGCCCTCAACGAAGTGGCTTCCTCAACGACTTCCGAGCCTCATGTGAGCTTTCATTGTGCTTTGACATCTTTTCTTAATGGTTGCCCCGAAATACTGGACTGGGGGAAGGAGGGTGACGGTTTCAAGGACAGGTGATACGAGTACCTAAAATCTTACTTCGAGTTACACGAACCCTGGCCGGTGGATGATCTGAAGAATCGCCTGCGGCTAGTGGAGTCGTCCCACGGAAAATCTCTGAAACCGGATTGTCAAACTTGTGCAATGCTTCAGGAGGGGATTACCGATGTTATTGATCCTTTAAAGTTGGATTATAAAGATGCTCCACTGGTAAACTTTGTAGCAAATCCCGAAGAAGGGCTGTTGGTCAATTTTTCGGGTCTGAGGTTGGAATATTACTTGCTCCGTGGTAAGTCATCTCATTTCAACCTCTTTACCATCCGCTGGTGTTTTCCTGCCACGGAGAGAATGTTTCAGGTCCAATAAACGGAGGAAGATGTTTTCTGTGAACATTCTAGTTCGTGTGGAACGTTGGGCCCTATGAAGGCATGGTATTCAATCAAGGCACAGACAGAGGTTGATGTCGAAGTTGTTAATACAATTTCTATAGGAGCTCCTCCAAGCCCATGGAATGTGATCAAATCAGCTTCTCACATCCCTGCAAACTCACAGTCAGATGAGAGCTATCGAAATATAAGAAAATGGATAATGGAATGCACTATGAAACACCAGATATGCCCTTCTAATGACTCGACCCCACTTCCCAAACGATTGATCGATATCAGCGATGGTCAAAATCCAAAGCTTTATGAGTCTGCTGGCGAGAGTGGGAGGTACACAGCCCTTTCCCACAGGTGGGGAACGTCACTCATCAAAACCACTCTCACAACCTACACGCGGCGAACGCGGGAGATCAAATGGGAAGAACTTCCCAGAATTTTTCAGGACGCTATCACTATTACTCGCCGGGTTGGTTTGAGATACGTCTGGATCGACTCGCTGTGCATTGTACAAGATGACATAAAAGACTGGCAAGAGCAGTCGGCACAAATGGCTTCCATATATGCGGGTTCATTTATCACCATTGCAGCCACATCGTCAGATGACAGCGATAGCACATGTCTCTCTTTCACCAACAGAGCAGAGATACCCGCTCCATTGAACTCTCACCAAATATTTGCAAGGAAACAAATTAAGCACGAACATATGTTTAATTCGAGGATGAGCGATGTTGCATATCCGTTGTTCAGTCGCGCTTAGTGCTTCCAAGAGAGACTTCTTGCGACCCGAATCCTTCACTACACGGAGCAGGAAATTGTCTTCGAATGCCGAACTGGCTATCAATGCGAATGTGACGGTATTTGGAAAGGCAATGACGAAGCTGTATCAGGATGTATGAAGCTTGCATACGCACAAATTCTTCAGGAAAGCCGCAAGTCAGGGAAGGGCGATAGATATCTCGGACCAACACTCTCTTCATCCTGCAACAAAGAGACCGTCCTCTGGTTCCGAGTCCTGGGCGACTACACGACAAAGGAAATGACCTTCGAGCGGGACACTCTCCCAGCTCTCTCCGGTGTCGCGGACAGAATGCCCGCCGATCTGATGGGAGGCTATCTTGCCGGTTTATGGCAAAAGGGCTTGGTGCACGGCTTACTTTGGAGATCCGAGGACGGAATGGAATGTTCCCGACATCGCATATACTTTGCGCCGTCTTTCTCGTGGGCTTCGAGAGCTGGTCCAATTACCTTTCCACCGTTTACTTCAAGGCACCAACCTTCTGCATCGGTTCTCGAGGCAAAATGCGAAACAGCAACCTTCAACCGAACAGGAGAAGTACGAGACGGCTTTGCGAAACTTCGCGGGGTCCTCGCTCACTTGTACTCACGAGATGCGCGAGCAGGCATTTCTCCCATTTCTTACTTGCGAAAGGAAGGCTCAGATCAGAAGGTGGTAGTCATGGTTGATGCTCGAAACGAAATAGCGGAACTTGACCCGCGTCCTGTCTTTTGCTTGAGTATGCTTCAGTATGGTCGGCCACCCAAACATGTGGCGCTTTTCCTCAAAGAATGCAGTTTTCCTGGTCGCTCGGATGGCTTTATGCGGATTGGACTTGCAAATGAAGTACCGGGGCTTTGGTTCCGGAATGCCGCAGATCGTGAGGTCACGATATATTGAGAGTTGGATCTACTAATGCACTCGATCGCTTCGATTCCTTTTCACTTGATTATGACAGTCGTTAATGGCTCGGTATATGACTGAGGCGGTCGCTCAGAGGTTTCACTGGGATTGCAATACTTTATAGCGAAAATTACACTACATGTGAAGAATACAGAAGGAGGAATTGAAGATGAGGAAGAGAAACAACCCGGAGAGAAGTCCTGTGAGTCTCCCAGTTGTATTATTCAATGAAAACATGCACTTTCCGGCTTGGAAATTCGGTCCATCTTGGAATTCAGATATCCGTCTTTCAGGGATATACTTCTGGATAGATATCGTCCTTGAGACGCTTTGGATGGTCTGACGTGTTCTCAAGGTTGGGCAGTCCACCTAGCTGTTTCTACTCATCCGCTGATATTTCGGCTCACCAAGGACTTTGACCACTGGAACGACTAGTTCATAGCCTTACCGCTCAGTGTCGGAGAGATTCTCCGTAGTGTCCATTTGATATCTGCCAGCCCGGGGCTGAAAACCGAGCGTTCTTAGTACAGTAAGCATCTAGTTCGAAAGGGAGCCCCGGGCTCCACAGAGCCGCCGAGGCTAGGCGTTCGATAAGGTGGATCCTCGTAGCCTCCCCGACCACCCACTCCGCCTTGGGGAGTCTGGAGGGTTGAGGCATCTGTCATGATATCGGTCACACGTGTTCAACATTGGAGCTTTACTATATGGGTCTTATAGGCCGATTGCAATTCAGGAATAATACTTCTGTACGATCCAGGCTGCCAAATTGGCCATTTAGAGGCAGTGTTTTAGTAAAGTGACAAAGCTTGATTTGCGCCGAAACCTCTTTTGTTAACAGCTCATGCGGTTCTCGAGTAACGTAGCTTGTTCAGCCCCACGTTTTAAGGGGCTTTAGCGAGTAGGTGCCGTGCTTTCCGTAGATGTCAATGTACGCGAGTCCCCTTTCGGTTCGCGAACGACGTCGAGGCCACACTCCTCTGCCACATTTAAGCGCGCACCTTTTATCTATTCCTATAAGGCACATCCACCCAATAAAGTCTGTGTAGAAGGACCGATAATCATACAAGATTCCTCACTTACACCAATCCGGGGGCGGGGACGAAGGTACCTCCACAACTGTGCCTTCCGCTCCACCGTTCGCTCCACTTTTGCTCCACTTTAAGAAGGGCCTTTTTGGATTTGTCGATTTCAAATAACCTCACGACTTTCAAAGGTGTCTAATTCAACTCGACAATTTATTCCCCGGACCCACTCCCAGCTCCAAGCTCCATCTGCATGACCTCGGTCTATCGAGGACCGAAGTCATTAACTGGCTTAGATGTGCTGGATTACATATTTGCGTAGGTATCTTGATTTTCTCTCTCCTGCTGGGTTGTAGTATAAGTTCATCGACCTGCCACTTTTTGGTTTCTCCCTACTCTTGTCCCCTCCACGTCTTTTTAATTTTTCCCCGTTCAACCACCGTCGGTTGTCCGGATCTGGTCTCCGTACAACTTACAACGCACCAACCGCAACAACTTCACCATGGGCGGCGGAGGAGTTGCTATCCATGGCACGACTGATGTCGGCCGGATCGAAGCTCCAGTCACACTGAAAGCTTACCTCATATGTGCCTTTGCTGCGTTTGGGGGCATCTTTTTCGGGTATGACACCGGTTGGATGTCTGGTGTTCTGGCCATGCCATATTTTATCACCCAATACACCGGCCTCCCTAAGCCAGCTGCCAGTGACACAGCTGCTGTAAACGCCTTCCACCTTACGGCTCAGGATCAGTCTTTGACTACGTCGATTCTTTCAGCTGGTACATTTTTCGGTGCTATCGCGGCTGGAGACATTGCCGATTTTATTGGTCGTCGCGTGACTATTATCGTCGGATGCGGAGTTTTCACAGTTGGATGTATCCTCGAGACTGCTTCAACGAGTCTGGGAGTCATGGTCCCTGGTCGTTTCATTTCGGCCATTGGTATGGTTTCCTAGTATTTCTTCCCCATTAGACAGCATTCAGCTAACTTCAGTAGTCATATTATACATGTCAGAAATTGCTCCCCGAAAGGTTCGCGGTGCTCTCGTTTCCGGATACCAATTCTGCATTACAATCGGTATTCTTATCGCCAACGGCGCTGTTTACGGCACGAAGCAGCGAAACGACAGTGGATCATACCGTATTCCCATCGCCATCCAATTCGCTTGGGCTCTTGTCTTAGCTATTGGTCTAGTGTTCCTTCCCGAATCACCGCGTTACTTCGTCAAAAAGGGGAGGGTCGAGGAGGCCGCAAAAGCTCTAGCTTCCGTCCGTGGACAGCCAATAGATTCCGAATACATCCAAGACGAACTAGCAGAAATTGTTGCGAATTTTGAGTACGAGCAGTCTGTTATCCCACAAACATCATATATCGGAGGCTGGACCAATTGCTTCTCAGGCTCGCTTTCCGACGGAAGCAGCAACCTTCGAAGGTCAATTCTCGGTATCATGATGCAAATGATGCAACAACTCACTGGTATCAACTTTATCTTCTACTTTGGAAATGTATTCTTCACCTCCCTTGGAACGATTCACAATCCGTTCTTGATCTCTATCCTCACCGCACTCGTCAATACAGTCTGCACTCCAGTTGCGTTCTGGGCCGTTGACAAGATTGGCCGCCGAAGCCTTCTTATATGGGGGGCAGTTGGTATGATCGCATCGCAACTCATTGTAGGCGTTATTGGCGTCACTGCCGGAAGGCTCGAGAAACACAACAATTCCGCTGTTTCTGCGATGATTGCCTTTATCTGCTTCAACATCGCTTTCTTCTCAGTCACCTGGGGACCTGTCGCATGGGTCGTCGTTGGAGAAGTCTTCCCCATTCCGATCCGCTCCCGAGGTGTTGGTCTTGCCACCTCCTCCAACTGGTTTTGGAACTGCGTGAGTCCCTCCTCTTGTCTCCCCCGCGACATCAAAGCATTACTAACCGATATCAGATCATCGGCGTTATCACTCCATACCTCGTGGGTACAGAGAAGCACGATGCAAACCTCGGTGCCAAGGTGTTCTTCATGTGGGGAGGACTCTGCTGCATATCTCTCACATTCGCATACTTTCTCGTCCCTGAGACCAAGGGTCTCTCCCTCGAGCAAGTGGACCGCATGCTGGAAGAGACATCTCCTCGGACTTCCTCAAAGTGGGTGCCCCACTCTACCTTCGCGGCGGATATGGGTCTCGTTAACAAGGGCGGGAACTCAACGTCGGCTGAGGAGACGATCGAAGTTAGCAATGAGAAATCCATGGTTTGAGAAGCTTTAGACTCATTGCAGGAGCGATGCAGAGGTGAATTTTGCAACGGGTGGTAGAAAACATTTTCAGGGGAAGGTGGCATAAGATGCGCTCTACATGAAATCACGCACAAGTCACTTTGTATTAACCCTTCCTGAATTACCCTTTATTTAAATAGTTTGCGGAGTGAACTAGCTGAACAGTATATTCTATCTTTCGCGCCCGGTTCTCTGTCTATCCAAGAGTCCACCTTCGTTCGTCTGCTGCTCCCCAACTGAGCGAGTTGTCGGCCTTTTGACGCCAGAGGCGGATGTGGTAGATGGAGAGGAGATTTTCTCAATGTCCCATTCTGTGCACCGTGGGAAAGTTAACGTTGATTCAAAAGCGCCTTAGTTTTCTTCTTCCTCATCATAAACTCCAAGTATGTTCCTCTCCACCCGCTTGAAATATTGCTCTGTCACTTCTTCAACTTCGCCTATGACTTCCTCGAAGTATTAAAAAAATGGAAACTCGCTCCCCTGTTTGTATCAAACGAACACTACCAGATAACCGAATTTTGCAGAGCATGAAGATTCAACTTCAGACTTTCGCATATAAGTGCCTGCTGTTCTGCAGCAGCCAATACGTTATAGCCCACATCACTCAATACATACGAGCGGAAATATCGGTCACCACGCATAGTGTAAAGGTTGAGGTCTTGCAAATTTCCAGGTCCCGACGGGGAGAAATAGTTCGAGAGACCTTCTAGTAGTTCAAGGTGCTGCAGTGCTTCCCTTTGGTCCACTTTAGTTTTGAACTTAGTGACCGCTTTCAATCCTTCGACCGAGCCATATGGATGAGGTGAACAAAGAGATCTAATTTTGCGAGGAATCTAAAACCGAATGGAAGCCCTAACTCCAGTGTGGAGCTGGGAGCAGTGCTAAACAATGAGCCGGAAGGTGGTGATTTCGTTGATATAGTAGAGAGCGTGCCCGAAACTTTCGTCGATGATGTTGAGGAAGGAACGGTTGACGAAGTTGTTGAGGTCTTGAGCATAAACTTCCGATTGCAAATCCCAAACAATCTTTGTCGAGGGGAATCCAATACTCGGTTGAGGCCTAGTACTGTCCCACCGACCCACAGTAGATCGTTCGATTCGTTCCTAAGAGGGCCGGGCAGCAACGCTTACGGTCCCGTCCAAACCGCTCCTTCCAAATAATCTCATAATTAGCTGTGACAGTGACTAGCATGTCTGGTATGTCGTAAGAATATATAATCTGGCGCACTTCAACAGGTAGCCTCATAAAGGGAGATACAATCTTCTTGGATGCATGTTGTGGATCTTCATCTTCTGTCCCAAGATAACGATCGAAGATCTTCCTCTTGTTATTCTGAATCTTCGCGTATAAGTTGCGAGACCTGGAATCTATGGTCGAGAGGCTTGAAGACGATCCATAGCGGTTATCGATAGGATTTTCAAACAAGGCGCGGCAGAGTGTTGTGGCTCCTCGAGGTGTGGCTCGGGCTGTGAAATGTTCAAGATGAAGCCAAGGTAGCGGGATCGTGGAAATTGAATAATTATAGGAGTTTGCAGTTTACAACTTTGGTGAACTCGAATATAAGTGCGAAATGTAAAATTTTACGAAGATACTAGTTCGGTTCACTTGGTTCACTTCTCACTGTTCTCAATTCAACCTTGCTCAAAATGACTTAGTCTCAGCTAAACTTTGCTGCGTAGTGCATTCCGCAAAATTTCTCCAATCAGTTGTATTACCAGACACCAGGCGCTGCTAGGATCCGTTCTAAGTTCTGCATATTCTCTTTGGCGGTCAGATTGTCTTTTCGGAAACGCAACTGGTCCATGCTCAAGCAATCTCCAACCACCCTCCCTGCTTATATTAGATGTACCCTTTTGGTTGCGCTGGCCAATGGCGATAGAGTTAGTGTTCTTTGCAGAGGCTGGTTGCGGATACTGTCCGGAATGGTCGAGCTTTGTACAAAATTGAGGGGAAACGCTGGCATACATTGTATGAGAAGAGTCATCAGACGTGCTAAAGACAAGACACTCATTTTGGTTCTTTCGTACAATATTCTCGTAATATTCTCACCACTATGCTACTTCGATTTCGACTTTGCGTTTCCCCGAACCCCTTTTTCCAGCTCGCTCACAACCGAAAGCTAAGCGAGACTGAGTTCAATACTCCTCCCTAAGGCAGAGTCTTCCTGTCTCGCACCAGCACTTGAAATCTTTACTATGCTCCTCTCAAGTCTTCTTCGCCATGTCCCCATCCAAATTGACATCATCTAGCCCTCTGGCCCTGTGAGGTTCTCTTGTTGAGTAAACGTGGAGTGGCCAAGGGTTTTCCTCCGAGGGATGGAAAAAGAAACTATGTTCCGCGATGATCACGAAAGGGATGGTTCTGCTCTAGCAGCAGGTAGTGGGCAAATTCTCCTAGACAGCGACTTTGTGAGTTACAGTTACAAGAGTGCTGAGGCGACGCTTTTGGAGTTAGTTGATGCGTAGAGTAAAGGCATATCACAATGTCACTCCAATTGCCCATTCTCTCACCAGCGTTAACTGTCCCGTTTGGAGAGAGCGATGTTAACGATACAAATATGCCGCTAAGGTGGTAGATTGGAATAGAGGGAAAGATAAGGAAATGTTTTGGTAAAGTTTATTAGGATTTGGTATTAATGGGTCCTAAAGTCTCTTCGCGCTAGATTCGGTATCAGGCAGTTACACTATGGGCCAAGCAAAGCTCAGAGATGTTTCTTTCAATCTGGTTGCTAGACGAGGCCTGCAAACTGTTTTGGGGTATCCTTCCTTCTGCACAACGACAGATATGCTCATGCGAACGAGGGAGGCAACCCGTGTTAGTTTCGATTTATTTTCGGCACTGGTATTCAGCCCAGCAAGTGTGTTCGCAGTATTGCCTGCCCTTGAAAGCATTCGTCAAATTACCGGGATTGAAACCAAGATTTATCATGATGTGGATCGTCTTCTCATCATTTTTTCTGATTGCACTACCAACGTTGATGGACACGAGGGCCGTATATGTTCAAAAGCAAGACCCCTACTATGACAAGTCAAAGTTTCTCTGGCAGACGTCCAATTGACTCAACTCCAATCAGAACACGAAAAGGATTTCAGCACAACTTGTGTTCCTTTAGGAGACGGGACTTATCAATGGGGATTCTCGTTATTTTGAATCGTGCTTACCTGGATGCTAGCAGGCTTGTGGATGCTAGGAACTTACAGTTCGTGAATGGACGCACGGCACAATTGTGAACTTTCCCGCAAGCGAAGACGATTAATTCGTTTCGTGCTGTGGCAGATTTGGCGGAAGCTACGACAGAGGCGCTTGGGCCGAATACTGCTGCATACTCGGGTTCAGAACCTCAGAAAGCACTTACGAAGAAGCCCGGGATCATGTGCAACGCAGAAGTGAACGAAGTTACGGGGCTGGGCCGAGTCCGGCTCACAACGAGAAAGAGAGGGAAAATGGGGAAATTTAGTTGGAGTGTGGTGTACGGTGAAGAGGAAAACATGAGTTGAGTGTCCAAATCCACCTTCTTGTTTTGTTTTTGCATTTTAGCAAATATAGGTTCGTCTGTCTTGGGAGTCTTGTGTGTTACTTAGTTGTTAATATGGAGGATGGATGTAATTTAACTAACGACATTAACTGCGTCAATGTCAAATAATTCAAGTAGCTACTGCCTTAGCGGAATTCGTTGCAGTAATTGAGAGAATGAAGGAATCTTAAGGGGATTGTCGGGAGATGGTGCCGCCTTTCTGTCCATTACGACCCGTATCATTGGTAGCTTTGCAATCACGGCCAAAGTATTCTTGGATCTTTCAAGCAGAGAATATGAATTTCAGTAAGCGTTCACAACGAACGTCGTATTCGGGTTACCTTGCATATTTGTTGTTGTGAGCCACCGGATGTTCCCGCTGTTTGGTTTTTGGTGCGCTATTTCGTATTCGTGTTGGAGATCTTGGCAAGCCCCCTCGCTTGACCCCTGAACACCCGGAGTCAAACTCTCCAGCCGACGAACAACATCGAGAGTTCCAATTCCACATCAAGAATGCCAAAATTTTCCGTTTGAGGCACTGACGAAAGATACGAATACGCAATTACAAGGGTCAGATAACGACTCTCTTCACGTAAAAAAAAGTTGGAGCCATCGAAGCGGGACACAATCTCAATTAAGTACAAAATCCAGCCTTATCCCCTCAAGCTTCTTTCTCCCTCGGAGCTGTTTCTTTCTGAGCTTCAGTTCGCGCTTCTATTAGTAGGATTGTTCCCCCCCCAACTTCCTGCCTCACCAGCGGCAAATACCATGCAATCTTCACACCTCACAAAAGAAGACCACCAACGTGATGCTGCGTTCAACCAAGCATTGCACGGTCAATCCGCTAACCAAAAATCTGCCTTCATGGCCATGCTGAGCAAAGACTCGAAAGCTCAGCAAGTAGCAGCAGATGCCTATTTTCGCCACTGGGACGATAAAGATGCGAAGATTGAAACAATAGAAGACAGAGAGGTAAGGATCTCTTCCTCTCCTTTCCATTCCAAGCTTACTATTATGAATCAGAGTAGGAAAGCAGATTATGCAAACATCACTCGAAAGTATGATGACTCCTTCGTACCTCTGTGCCTACCACTGACATTCCATTGTAGTTATTACGATCTCGCAACAGGATTGTACGAAGAGGCATGGGGCCAATCCTTCCATTTCTGTCGTTTCGCAGCCAGCGAGCCCTTTCTCCAAGCCATCGCAAGACACGAGCACTATTTGGCAACGAAGATGAACCTGAAGAGTCAGATGAAAGTCCTAGACGTGGGATGCGGAGTTGGCGGACCGGCACGAGAAATCGCCAACTTCGTCGATATACATGTCACTGGATTGAATATCAACGACTACCAGATCCAGCGTGCCACTCTTGTTGCGGAACGTGCTGGAATGTCAGATCGTCTTAAGTTTATTAAGGGAGATTTCATGGTATGCAATCTACTCAACCCCCTTCGTATTCTTAGGTGGTGTCTAATACAAGTATTCAGGAATTACCATTTCCAGACAATAACTTCGATGCCGTCTATGCCATTGAAGCAACCTGCCACGCGCCTAGCCTCGAAGGCGTGTATTCCGAAATCTTCCGCGTCTTGAAACCGGGTGGCATATTTGGAGTCTATGAGTGGCTCATGACCGACAAATACGACGCGAACAATCCACATCATCGAGAGATCAGACTCGGCATTGAACAAGGAGATGGCATCGCAAACATGGTGAAAGTGCAAGAAGGACATCGAGCTATTAAAGCGGCTGGCTTTGAATTGCAGCATGCTGAAGACATGTCCCTTCGTCCCGATCTCATTCCTTGGTACTATCCTATCGCGGGAGAATTCAAGTATATGGGTTCGTTGTGGGACTTCTTCACTGTCTTGAGAATGACGAAGCCGGTAAGAGGTATGGTGCAGAGACTGCTATCTGTGTTGGAGGTGGTGCGACTGGCACCAGGTGGGAGTGCGAAAACTGCGGCGAGCTTGGCAAGAGCAGCTGATAGTCTTGTGGCTGGTGCGAAGGAGGGACTATTCACGCCGATGTATTTGATGATTGCGAAGAAGTCGGAGGAAATTACCTCGGTTTCTTGAGAAATGTGTCACTCTATGGGAACATGGGGAACCGGAATGCATTCGAATCCTTCAATGATTTCCTTCCAACTTCTCGGGAAGTTTTCGCTCGTTCTGGTACTCACTTGGAACACATCAAAAGTTCGTCTCTACTATAACACCCAAATAACTTTCATATAGCTTAATAGAACCTTTAATACATTGAAATCTGGTTCCTTGTCTTTTTCTCGGCAAATAATCCTCGGTCGCATCTGAAGTTTTGAAGTGTTTCAGGCAGTACGGTATGGGAATGTTTTCGTGTCATTTTCCATTTCTGTCTCTGGACCTGAGCTGCTGCTGCTTTAGCCTGAGCTATGGGTGAGCAAGCTTGAGCCGAGGGTGAGCATTCCTGAGTACGGCATAAGCGCACGCTAAGTAAGCCTGAACTATTTTAGTATTCACAGGGGCTCGTTTTAGCTCCCTTAAGGCCGGTTACACCTTCCTTGTCTTGTCTCTGGGGGTAGGTCCTATTTGGGCTCCGACAAGGTCCCCTTTGGAGCTTTTTTTCTTCTTTTTCTTCTTCTGGATCTCAGTTTGCTTAATATAGATGCGTGTTGAAAGGTTACGTTATGAGGGTGCGGAAGCAAGGTAAACATAGAGTGTAATATTGAATCAATTGATAAGAGTTACGATTGAAGACCCCTATTCTACAGAGTATATGAGGCGTCTGGTACGTGCACGCTGGGCATGCTAGCACGTGACCAAGTGGCGCCCAACGTTGCATCCCACGTGACGACACTTTCTGAGCCAGGACCAGGAAGTCATGAGGGCTGGAATCCTTCAACAATAGTATTAGTATAGAATAAAATATTTACCTTTATATTGAACATGTAACCCTCGATCTAGTATGACCTCCACCAGACTACAGCATAGCAGGCGCGTGAACTGTAAGGCCCTAAGGACGATCCGAGATCGAGTCGCAGTCGCTTTCGAGGTTGCCGTCGCAACTCGCAAATCCATCGCCCTACTGGCCATGCTGTTATCTTGAGCATGATGGGTTGGCAGCTGCAGGATTAGGGCCAGATTCGAGGCCACGAGAAGAGTATACATAACAGGTGCTCAGTAGAGAGGCAGTGTCAGCTACCTCTCCAGCCGCCATTCCAGTACGGTAGGAAACGAAATCGGCCTCACAATTCCACACTTAATCATTTAAAGTTAACCACTTTTTTTCTCAGTAGACTAGAAGGGGTCACCCGACACCTGCCCAAGCCCCCGGGCCCCTCAATCGCCCCACCCAAAGAACACCAAAAGATTTATAATTTTTTCAAAGTGCTCAGAAAATTCTAAAAACTTCCAATGTGACTATAATTAAGTTGTAGATCACGATTATCTACTCCTTTTTTTCAGTTTGTTGCGCTGTTGTAGTTAAACAGATGTGAGGGGTGAGGAAGGTTGTCAGTGAAGCCTTCTAGCACTAATATAGCTAGCCCTGGTCCGATCGGCAACAGGGAATCTCGGCATCATCCTGTTGAACTAGCTAAGTAAAGGAGCTAGGGTCACGTGCTTGCAATGTAACCCAAGTAAAACGTACTGAATTGACTGCTGTTCTACAGTGGTAAGTAGCCTGTATATATAGCCCTGAACCCCCTAAGTCACATGCACTAAACCCCTAAACCAGAGAGCCTTATACTGAACCATTCAACCTCAGCTGAGCCCATTTAGCCTCACAGGGCACATTATGCCCTGAATCAACCTTACAGGGCATAATCTACTCAGTAATAAGCCTATGGCTTAAGCCCATTAGTGCACAGCCCCTAAGGCTCCGTTCCAGGGCTTACTAAGCCTATTAGGGGCCTCAGGCCCCTAATTTCAACACATCCGAGCGAGGTCAATTCAGCGCCTATTTTCCAGCACTCTCAGCACCTCTAAAACTGTCAAGCTTCTTGTCTGGACGTCAGGTCGAGTTAGTACGCCTCTCCAACTGGCACTAAAGTGGATCAACAAGCCGTAGGTGAAAATCAAAGTCGCTAGAAATGTCTCTAGGCGCTTTGACATCGACCTTTACTCCGCCAGCCTCCTGTATCTCCTCCTTTGCCAATGTTTACCTTATAAACCCACCCATCATAGGCAATTTTTATCATGCTGCTGGACCTGTCAGCACCGATAGATGTTTCCCAAGCAACTACGGAGATGCGCGAACCGATTATTACTCCCCAGGAATCTGCCCTGCCGGATACACGTCTGCTTGCACATCACTTAACGCAGCAGGAGCTGTCACGGAAACTGTAGTGACGTGCTGCCCAACGTTCGTTGCTAGCCTCCAAGCGGTACGAAAGTTTTGTGTATTAACCTTGTCACAGGTCCTTTTTTTGTAACTACCAGACTCCCATGACCTGGGAGACTACAATGGGGTGCAATTCGCCGTTCAATGCTATCTTCACGGTAATGACTGTCATCTCCGACGGAGTAACTGCCAACCCGTCAACCACTACGAGTACCTGGGGTGCAGGGGCGTTGAATGCATACAGCGTCCAGGTCCGGTTCCAATCAACTGATTTCCAGAGTACGACATTCGTAAGTACCTTTTTTTCCTTGCTAGTAATAATCCCCATTTTTAAATTTAGAGTTGGCATCAAAGATTGGAAACATGAAGCTTATAGCTCGAGTCCCGAATTAGACATCAATATCCACAGCACCCAGTACCTCATCAGCCTCCAAGCCCGCCGCGAGTAATAATGGAGGAGGGCTCAAACCCGGGGCAGCAGCAGGTATTGGCGTGGGGGCCACTATCGGGTTTCTCGCTGTAGTTGGGCTCGCTATTATCATTGGTCGTTGGAGCGCGAGACCAAGGAAGGGGACGAATAACGAGCACCCGGTCCTCCCAATCGGCTACAGAGGGGACTGGGGGACAAACAGCCCGCTGAGCTGGGACCAACACGGACGCTAAGGTGATGTCGGAGCCCCTACACATTCAAATGCGAGATTCACCAGGCGGATTGGATTCGGGGGTGCATATGCCGGTGTCGTAATCTTCCAGTGGGCTGTATTCATGTAACGTTCACTATTGAAGGCGGCTATCTCGTTATAATTGTTTTCACAACTCCGGATCGGCCAAGTCATTCTTCGCATATATCGTCTCTGGTATGGACAATTTTCTTGGAATGAGGGCTCGGAGCATAGATCAATGCGATCGGCGGCTTCCAGGATAGAGCGGGCTCAGACTCAGTATGGTTCGGGAAAATGAAGAAAATCTGGGAATCATTTCTACCTGCTATATATTCATTTCCAGTACCATAATTAATCACATCTCTAAGATAGACTTTAGCACTTCCGCTGATGTTTTGGCCTTGAAGACGGTTCAATATTGCCCTGCCGGCCCTTGTATGCTCTTTAATTGAGGCGTTTTGCATATACAGGCCTAGTCATGAAGATTCCCGAATACACCCAACTAGTACTCTCCCTAGCGTATCTCTAGAGAGCTTCGAGGTCCAGCGTAATCCTCTCCCAAGCCTCACAACCCTCCAATATCTTCAATCTATTCACAGTGGGGGAAATGAAGTCAGTAGGCCGGCCAACGTTACTAATAATAATGTCCTTACAGCCCCATACTGGGATTAGAGGCACCCCACTAACTTTGACGTAGTCCGGTCCCAGTGTGCCAAATGATTAGATTAGATTAGATTAGATTAATGGCCATTAATCTAATCTAATCACGAAATATACTCATTAATCATAATCTATTCACGTATTAATTAGATTAATCATAATTAAGCTGATTAATCTGATTAATACACACGTGATCATACACGTGACCGTGCTAGCCTAATCCGGTAACGCTCCCGCCCGCTCTAGCTCTAGCGCTATACTAATCAGGGGCGGCAGCGCTTAGTAAGTAACTCGAAACTAAATTAAAAAAGGGGAAATATAAGAGAATAACTAGTTTATTATTATTAAAAGCTAATATATAGCTACTATTATATAAGCTCTAACTTAGTTTAACTAGAGCTACCTAATATATATCTTAGTTATTTAATACTTATTAAATAAATAGTAATTTATTATAATTATATAATAATTTAATTTAATTAAAAAAAATCTGAATTATATTAATTATATTAATTAATATAATTAATTCTTTAATATATTATCCGGTTTATATAATATAATTTAATATTGAATTTATTTTTAGTAATTATAAAATATTTTTAAAAGCTATATTATTTATTTATACTATAATTATATATCTAATACTAGTTACTAGATATATAACCTTTCTATAGCCTAATTCTTTCCTTTTTATTCTCTTTTATATTATTTTATATTTGAACTATTCTAAGTAATTAGCTTTTAGGACTTCCTAAAAAATACGAGTTATATAAGAAATATTAGAATTTCCCTTTTCTAAAAAAATATATATTAGAATATAATTATATTTAAATTCTTAAAACTTGGCTTAGAATAATAAAAAGAATATTTAAATAAAAATATATATTATTATTTATTTTATTAAAATCGCGATTTTTTAGCCTATATTTATTAAGGCTTTAATATATAATAGCTATTTCCTTATTAGTAATTACGTTTTCTAGCTTATAAATAAGCCTTTTTATTAAATATTACTAATTTATTAGATTAATTTTATTTTATAGTTCTTATAAAATCTCTTTTATATTTTTAATTAAAATAGAAATAGTTTTTAATTTTATAATTTATAATTTTATTTATTATTATATTTTTTAATTAGATTTAAATTAAAAAGAAAAAAAAACTAATTAAAACTATATAATTTATATAACTTATAGAATAGCTTTATTATATTCTTATAAATTTTTATTTTATTTTTTATAAATAAGAATTCTTTCTTTTATTTTATTATTAAAGAATTAAATTAAGGAAAAATAATAGAATTTAGAATTTAATTTAAATAAACTTAATTATAAATTTTCTCTTTTTCTTTTTTCTTTATTAAGAAAATAAATAGAAACTTCTAATTCTAGCTAATAGCTTTTTAAACTATTATATTTACTTTTTTATTTCTATATATAAATTATATATAATCTAAGTAATTCTTTTTATTTAACTAATATATAATCTAAATTTTTTTTTCTAGTTTTAAATATAGCTTTATAATAATTTAATATTTCTATATAATATAAGCTAGAAATTAAAAACTTTTATATTTTTAAATTAAAACTAAATTATAATAATATTTATATATAAAAAATAGTATATATATATTAAAATATAATTATAGTAATATATTAAATTAATAAAATTATAATATCCTAGAAATTAAAAGATTTCTTTCCTAGATATAATTAATTTTTTTTAATATATATATTAAGCTATATTTCTTATTAGAATTATAAAATATAACTTATATATAATTAAAGCTAAATATATATAATATTTAAATAAAAAGAATTACTAGTTAGAAACTATAGAATTTCTAATAATAATAATAAAATAATAAAAAGAGCCTATAAAATAAAAATATAGAAAAGAAAGAAATTTCTAATTACAATTTAATATATCTTTTAAATAATTATAATTATAATTATTATATAAAGAGCTAGGGGCTTTAGCTATATCTAATATAAAGAAATTATTATATTATTATTACGAGTATAAGATCTAGGGCCTAGAAAGCATAGTTAGATTATCTCTATTTCAATAATTTAAAGCTAAAGAGAGAAGAGGATCTTAAAGAAGCCTCGAATCTAAATAATTACAAGCTATATACGGGCCTATATACTAGCTTAAGCTCGGGGTTATATATAATAATGTAATGCATATATTAATAGCGAGCGTTTAGCTAGATTTGGTAGCCTAATTAGGCTAGTACTTATGTGGGATCGTACTCCCTAATTAGGACTAGTGCTTTCATATATCTAGCGGAATACTAGATTCTATATATAGAGGCATGCAAGCTTTGGAAATGGGCATTAATTAGTTTATTACTAAGAACTAGTTCTTGGAATTAATTATACTTTCACGCTTTACTTTATACTTTACCCTATATTCCACTCCTTTACCTTAACTACTTGCGTAGCACCCTGCTATATTGGGAGCCTCATATACTAATCGATCTAACCTGCAGGGAGCAGTTTGCTATAGAGTAATTAAGGCCTATCAAAAGAGCCCGTTAGGAGTACGAAAGATACCCGAAATACTACGATTTTCACGATTTTCTATCGAAAATAACTTTAGAAAATATACCAGAGAGCTTAACGGAGCGTATGGAGCTACCGGAATAGCTAGTACTATAGCCAGAGGGCTTAACGGAACGTCCGGAATAGCCGGAATAGCCTGTAGGAGGGTAAAGATATCGCTACGCAAGCGGTTCGCAAGAGCAGAGAGCCTTACTCCTACCCTCACGAATACGGGAGCTACTAGTATACCATGGCAAAGACATACAAGAAGCGCAGGATTTTATTTCAGGGGCAGAGCATTGATTTCGCCTTAATTAGGGCTACTATTATCCAGATAATATATCCAAAATCGACTATTATATTCTGGCGTTTGAGTCGAAGCCGTACCGCTAGTAGAGCATTTTTAAGGAGGATACCGGAGGTCCAGGGCATACTATATGGGAGTAGTTCAAAGTATATCTTTTTAAGTTAATCTATAATATTAATAATTGGCAAATGAGCGCTATGGAATTATACAAAAATACTTACTAATAGAAAGGCCAAATGACAGACGATTTTGCGGCTGAATTACAGGTATATAAGCGAGAACTAGGCTATACCAATAAACGGTGGCTAGCAGATGCGTTATTTTCAGGGCTATGGCGGGAGCTATAGACTGAGATATTGAGAAGGGGCAATCCGCCACGTATACGAAAGGGGCTACTCTAGCTAGCACGTTCGATTAAGACCGCAGATTGGTTATTTGGGGCCTTTAGAGAAGTGCAAGTCAAGGGAGAAAGCCCTGGGCGAGCAGGAAGCCCTAAGCGAGCGGGAGCCTGTCGATATTATAGAAGCGGGAACTATACTAGTAGCAAGTATCCGCAAGCTATTTATTTCAAGTATTAAGAGAAAGGGCACTATACTAATAAGTGCCAGAACTAGTTAATAATATATCTTTTTAGGAGAGCTTTAAACGGGCTATTGCGGATATTATAGAGCTATTAGGTATAACTAATTATACTAATGGCTAATATCCCGATAGCCTGGAACCCATATATTATATGTATTTGGAGCTAGTAATCTGGTATCTGCAGGTGCTCGGTAGATCAAGAGGGCTAGTTAAATGCTATTCTCTAGCTATAAGGGAAATACTAAATATATGAGTACTCTTACCTATAAAGTATAGCCTTAGCCAAAGGTAGTACTAGTAGGGCTTACTATCTGGCCAAATACCTGAGAGATAGTAGGATTTAAAGGCTATATACTGCGAGAGAAATGCTACTAGGCCAAATGCCTGAGAGTAGTAGTTTGAGAGTAATTAATTTGAGAGTATAGAGCTATTAAATATATCTCAAAAAATAAAATAATAGCTAATTATCGGGAATAACGTTTTAGAGAAAAAGGCAGTAGCTATTCTATAGATATAAAAGTAATACAAACGTAATATAAATATACAAAGTACTAAAAATACCCTAGAACTAAGTATAAAAAACTATTATATAAACGAATATAAAGCAAATTAGTAGAGTAGTAATAGAGGATAAGTAAAGTATAAAGCTGGGTTTTGTTTATAAGAGTGGTTTTCCTAGTTCTGAAAACCCAAATAGGTATACTATAATATAAAGGCATAAAGTATATAGAGCTTATAGCACGTGAAGCCTGTAATATAAAGAGTATATAAAGAATATACGAGAATATAGAACCTAGGTTCTTGGGAATAAGAGTTCAGAAAAAGAGGTAATATAATATATATATTAATAGCAAGTATTTAGCTAGATTTAGTAGCCTAATTAAGCTAGTACTTATATGGGATTGCATTCCCTAATTGGGACTAGTACTTTTATATATCTAGCAGAATACTAGATTCTATATATAGAGGCATGCAAGCTTTAGAAATGAGTATTAATTAGTTTATTACTAAGAACTAGTTCTTGAAATTAATTATATTTCTATACTTTATTTTATACTTTATCCTATATTTTACTTCTTTATCTTAATTACTTGTATAATGTCTTACTATATTAGGAGCCTTATAAATAATTAAGTAATTATAAATACCTTACTTAAATATTAGATATCTCTAGCTCTAGTCTAATTCTTACTAATACTATATATTATAATAATTATAATATTACTTCCCTTTTTAAAATAAGCTTATTCCTAAGCTTTAAAAGTCTCTATTAAATTTCTAAGTTACAGGTTATATATTAAAGGCCAGAGCCTTTTATATATAACTTTAAAGA